ACAAGTTTATCGCCACTTACGTGTCTTATTGCGTGATTAATCCTGGGCCTTGAGTCCTTCGCCATAAGATAAGTGGTGCCGTATGAAGAGTGAGCCAAGCCACGAGAAACTGCTCCATTGTACCGCCATAAGCCTCCATTATTTATTTTGGAAATCGTCTCTACGTTAAAAACTACCATGCTCACATCAATTGGCTTCTCGCCCAACGGCTAGGCTTAGATAGAACCCCCATCTCATCATTGCTCATCGGAACGTCAACAAGTGCCGTACAGGCTTGGAAAGCACTAGCACCGACGACAGTTTGAGAACATGATCTTGACCATCTTGTTGTTATAACTTTCGTAAAATGATATATTTCTTATGCTCGTGGTGCAAGGCAATAGTCGGTCAAGTTCACAATGCAAGGTCACACAGCGGATGATGCCTACATAAGCACGTATCGGACCTTCGTGACGCGTAGCGATTGCCCCTTTGTCATCACGCACTTTCTGTCGCAACTGCGTGAATTTTCAAGCATTTGATAATCAAACACAAGGTTTCGACTAGACCCGCTGTCCAAAGTTACATTTATCATGGACAATCTACTGGTCGTTTACCACGTCGAAAGCCATAAATGATCCAATCCATTTCGTTTACTTTCGCACTTGCTCTTCTTATTACGGCATTCCGTCGCGATATACGTAGCTTTGTTACGGTGTAGAACGTCCGAATTGACTGTATTGGCTGCGTAGATCCAACATCCAGCACAACGCCTTTCCCAAAGCCTCGGAGCCACCCACATTGGTTTCAATATGTGCAAAACGCGCCAGATTTTTGGCGGTTCTCAAGTTGTCAGTACGATTATAGTCGTACATTCAGTGGAGGTGTACTGTACAGCATTATCGGGATCTTTGCTTCTGCACCACCTGTCGCGTCACTGACTGCGACGAGATCTAGGTGATGTTTAGTATACGATCATCTCAAAGTCTCTCTGCAGCGATTCAGGGATATTCATGGACGCTCACATAATCGCGGATTGCTTGTGGTCTACATCAAGCACTACTGGGTAGCGAGCCATCACTCATTTCCTTCAACAGACTGCTAACGGCCTACACTGGGTCATACATCGAGTGAATGGGTTTCTTATTGTCGTCGAATCGAAGTTGGTACAATTTCAATAGCAGAGGAGCAATCCGACTCTCGTATTCGCAGCATATGCAATACTAGATATGTATCCCTGTTGACTTATCCAACCATCAATGACACACACGCATGCGAGGCGTTACAACTAAACTTATTCCTCGAGCAAAACGGCATGTGTAGCCAGCGCTCACGGAGGTCATTTTGCGATTTCAAACTCTTGTTAACGCGACAGACGGGGCGGGATTAATGATGAAGAATACACCGACAGAGATCTGGGCTCATAGACATGCCTTGAGGATATATTTGGTGTGGGTTTGCTACCGGTTCACATATCATCATTTAAATCTGACCAGTGTCCACCCTATGCAACCGCTCACCTTTTCACTTTCGACAAGTAGAAATAGGTATGTAGCCCGTTTCCTGCAGCCTACTGCTACCGATTCGACTCGATCGACACCACTTGATCAATTTCGTGGCCCGTTCTGTCCGGTAGACGATTGCCTACGATTCCATTGATAAAGCCTGTTGCATCAGCTTTATGCGATCTACCTGTCGTTTATAACCACTGTCGACGCCGATATCACATCGCCACCATAACATCGCGGATAAAAGTGTCATAACGATAGACTCGCCACCATCATCTTTTTTAGTCTGAATGGATTACTTTTCGGGTCGAGAAAAAGACTCATCGTGTACACCTCATGCGATTTGTAGCTAATCAAAATGAAGATCGTATTCACATTTTTAAGACTGCAAGGGAGCAAACAGGTGTTGAGCGTTTACAGTGGCTGTTACGGGGTAGCCCGTTACATAAAAATTAATACAAAGGTATCAATTTTGAACATTATCTATTTTGATTATATTCACTTTGCATTACTAAAGAAGAGTAATGTTGTAGGAATATTACCCCCGAGGGTAATATTCGTGGGTGCCCCACTACTTGGTAGACGTGCACGGCACATCAATCCAAACTAACCACCAATCGCTGATCGACGCGCGCAATGGGTGGTGGACAGACGACCCACATAGGTGATTGTAATTCAATATAGTTAGATAAAGATGAAAGATGATTTAGCATGAAACATAACTGTATTAAACAACAGTTCTACTTTTACCTCAAGACAGAGCTTTCGGGTTCTATTTGGCTTGGTCGCGCTTTCTCACGCCACGTGTACGTGACGTCGGGCGCACGCTACCTTGTGTTGATTTGAAACAAGGTCTTGCCACGTTACAGTGGCTCATTGGACCCGGTTGGACGTCACGACTGCTCAATTACACGTGTACAAACAAGCTGTGTTATCCAGATCGGATCCAGGTTTACCGCCGAGAACAAGAGCGGGGATCGGCCGCATGATTTTTGGACCGGCGGAATCAATTGGTGGGGATAATGAATAAATCTAGTGGATGGTCTGGTCCGTCTACTTTGTCATTCTATGATCTCAGTGGAGATAAGAGGTGCAATAATGATAGGGGGTAACAACTGATCAAGAGAAACCATAAGTGTGACAAACACTCCTTTGTCAATATTTTGCGGTCAGAGAATTCAATTTCGACCGGAACGGGGACGACAGAAAACGTTTACCTCCAGCGAAAGATATATTTCGAGACCCAAGCCCTTTGCGGCAGTTCGCTCATCACCACCCTAGAAGAATGCTTACTCCACCGACAGGAGAGTTACAGCGTTCAGAGTATTTTCAGAAATCTTGTAAATTGTAAAGATAATAGATGGCATGTATCACTCTCGTACAACGTACCTTGATATTTATATATCAAAGAAAATGTTCAGGTTTATAATGGAATTGCCACAGTCTTTGGATAAACCTAATAGCTCAATCTAATGAAATTACTAATCGCTGCCATACGCGCGCAAACTTTGGTAAGCTTGTATCTTCATCAATTAGCTGTGTGTGAGTTCGTCATGCTAAGATAGAAGAGCCATATTTGCGAGACGTTTGCTATCAATCGATACAGTTCTGCGTTGTCCTATATACTAAGCGTGTTCGTCCTATAGACTTATATTCCTCTGCCTGTAAATTGTGCATGAGGTAACGAAGCTCCAACTCACACCGTGGTCAGCGTAGGTAGCTTGTACTGTGTCGTTACAAGCGTCCGATGCCCGTTACACAAGAGGGCCGCACCCTTTGCCGTGATGCCTTTCCCGTGAGTTCAAACTCTCTATCAAAAGATGCATCTCGCCCACTGATCGGGAAGGCAGCCTGATATGTGGAATCGCTAACCATATCTTACCACCGACCCTATACTCATGACTGCCGTACACTTGACCCGTCACCGACGGCTATAAAAGTCTCGTAACATTGAAGGTGTGGGAAACAGAGAAAGCATGAACGTGGCTTCTGTGATAAGAGTTAGCCATACGCGTTTCGGCCGACCGCCCGTGGACTCGTGAGTGGCTTTTTCAATCTAGAAGTAAGACATTGCTCTATCTGCGCTAAGAGACGAAGAACTTTCCAAAACTTATTGTAATCACACAAATCACCCACTATAACTGTTCAGCCTGGCAGCTGGGGCGTCGACACGGAAGGGAGTGTCCGCTATGACAACTCTGCTTTTAGTAAAAGGCCCTTTCCCTCTATATCTCGGACGCCCGCCTTGCTGAGGTGTTTAGCGCATAAGTGGCCTTTCACTATCGGCCCTTTTCTTCACCGATTGGTTACTATCATCATACATCTTCTGGAACGAGATCTTCGCCTATTACAGACGCCATCAGCTTCATACGCGTTTACTCCTGCCACCGATGAGAAAGTCGCGTCTGCAGTTCAACGACCCAAGTAAGTCAGGCAAGGCGGCGTCCTATCGTTAGATCGCATTGCCCAGTAAGCGTGTTGTGCCACTATGTACTCTGCTCTGATTCAATGAGATCACTGCGCCGCAGACTGGGTAGTGTGCCATCCCTACAATAAGACCAATTGTATGAGGAACAACGTGCTCAATATTGAACATACGCGAAGGTACATGAAGTGTCGATAGCTTCGTTAGCCCACAAATGTAGAAACTAATTCACACTAAACTATCGACTTCTTCAGTTTCGTCAATAACGTGTCGGCCGACGTCTCGTATGACATACGATCGAAATTTGCGCCATTCGCCCTCCGCGTTCGTAGCGTGATAGGCTATGATTGTAATGGGACACACTTCTTACCGAATAATTGGTAAGCACTGAGCTGAAACAGTACAAGGGTGTGCGCTCTCAAACCTCATGTACACTGCACGTGCAGACGAAGAAGAATCTATACGAGAGTTGGTCAGAAGGGAAGAAATGTAAGGCATCATCTATTATAGCTAAGCAACTCTATTACAAACGAATCATTTATCTTGCTTAAACTATTCTAAACTACAAACTTGAAATATGGAAATTCACTGACCATCTATCGAGCGCGTTTAGCAGCGACTGATGGTTCATTCGGCTAATATCATGACATAATTACGAAATAGTATAGCGGTGCCGAATTATATTTCTGATACAATATATCTGTAACATTGACTCGCACAAGAAATTTGTTTAATTTTATCAATAACGATAATATCTTCATTGACACAATTCGTGCCAATGACATGTAACAGGCTCACCCGATACTACAGTACGATAGTTCAGCTTTACCGCAATTTACTCGGTGTTTGCCAACACCGCGTCTGACCAACGCTTTACTGGCAGCTCTCTCAAACACTGTTTGCCTGGTCCGCTACAGGGTCGCGGTAGGCTCCGTGAATCTCCAGCAAATACGTTTACAAGACGTGATCAACCACAGCTGACGTATTCTGCCGAGTTTACTCTGCAAAAATCGGCGGCACTTTCATGTTACGAGCTGCTTATAACCGGCTTCTACTCAGCGGACAACTAGTGCTTCAACGCATTCGAGTCAGCGATTATCTTGATAGGGCGTAAAACCAATGATCTCCCTCAGCGGCTTCAGCATAACTTTCACATACGTCATAGCCGACTCCGCGTCCTTACTACAGAACCGCACAATCACAGCGTTTGACCCCAGCGGGCTTGCCGATGAAATCACATTTGGAAACGCATTGGCCGTCGCAAGACGACCATGAGGTGTGATCTCCCGTGCATTGTGGAGTTTCTTGCGGGTACTCAGCTCCAGCAATTTGTCCATGACAATCTTTAGCTTGGACCCAGCTACCACCATTAGGCCCAGCACATGCATGCCGTACATACGCTGAGGTAGACCCACATTTTCTTCGTCTGCGTAGCCACAAAGTGTAAGAACATACATACACGTGTGAATGCAATCAATCGAAACACTCGAGAAACATTCAGTTTCCACGCGGTACCTTTCAGACAAACACGGTCTGTCACGAGGCGCTCGCCGCCGACAAAGATCTCCGAAATCGTGTCATAGCTGTCAAACTTCCAGTGTTCAAGCGTCTCCTTACGGATATCACGAAGCGAGCCTGTGGACAAGTAGTTCCGCTTCCGACCACTCGTGAGCCAGTCGACGAACACGAGATTTGCGTTCAGTTCAAGATGAAATACTTGCGACTGTCGATATTTAGCGCTTTTGAAACAGGTTACAGGGTCAGGAACGAACGCCAGGGTAGCATTGTTCGCCACCGAGAACGTGAAGGTCTGCGACACGTATTGGCTCTTTTCCTCCGACTTGAACACTTTGGTCGTTGCTTGTGTACACAGCGCGACTACATCGACCGCACCACGACGAGACAGTGACTTGTTCGTTCATTATCACCCACTCTAGCGTTAGTGAAAGCGCCTTCGATCGTACCTGCTGTGCCAGGACCCAGTTCACATTCAACGACAATGGAATCGCCACCCACTAGACCTCCACCATATCCCAAAATGTACTGAACAAAGCACATCATGAACGATGTGATTACAGGTGGCTGCTACCCGCGCACGTAATCGCAACAAAGGTGACGCACGGTGATGTACGTATCGAAGTCCTGGTGGATCGTGCGTCGAGGGTGCAGGAACTTGAGTGGATACGTTGCGTACACGTGCGTAGCGGCAGTGCGGCCCTCCACGACCTCGTACTTGAGCTTACCGGTCGGTCGCTCCTCGCGCTTTTCCGTGTTTGTATCCGCTGCCATGAAAAAAAACACTGTGGGTGGGCTCGTGGATCATGAGCCGGTCGCGCGGACCTCGTAAATGGACCAATGGCAGACGGCAGAAAGACGGTCGACAGACTGGATCGTCTCTGGATGGATCGTGGCTGACAATGCATCGAAAAAAGTTGACCATCAAAGCAGCAGCGATTCATTGACCGCACGTCCGACACGTTCGTCGCAGAGATGACAGCGTCGTCTGGATCTACTGACGAGCAACGATTACGGCCTTCAGTGCGAGTGGTAGCCATCGAATGCATCGTTTATAACCAGGCTGTCATGTTGCGACTTGTCAAGAGAGAGAGAGAGACGCCACGTCACAGTGCGTTATCGCTCCAACAACGGCGTTTCTCGTCTGATGTTAGTGCTTTTTGCAGCAACGTCGACGCGCACGTTGTCGGACATGACACTGCGATGCTACCGGCGGAACCCGAACATTCGTGATGGTCCTACAATAGCGTCGAAACGGGTATTGCTAGTCGCAATCGATCCTTGAAACACCCTGACAACTTCAATAACCTGTAAGTAAACTTGACCCCTCGAGAGTGGCTCGTCGTCCAACATAAGCTGGATTGAAAGCCCCCAATCCGAACGTGTCGGTACACTGTACCCGCATATCAAGACAGACAGGTATGATAGCTGATAGTGTCAGCTATCGTTCCTGCCGACAAGCACGACTTCAGGCATCTTGTAACTCCTCCTCACCCGCTCACTGGACGCTGAGCTCTCTGCAGGTCGCTCGACTTGACAGTTGCATTGTATGAGCGCTTCCCCACGAAAAGGTCACTCGGCTGAAGCGGACGCGGATGCACCCGCACTGCGCTCGCCTTGCGATCAACAAGCCGAGGAGTTCACGTGCCCGAAGTCAGAAGAGGTGAGAGACCTGTGCGATGCCAGTCAAGTGCACCTGGACTCGACTAACACTTACTGTGCCATCCAATTGCTTCTTCGAATGTATTGTGCCTGTGAACATGGAAACAAAGCAGCATCGCGAGCTGATGACGACCGATCGTTCGGCCACGGACGACGAGTGTACGCTGGAAGACGATCTGCGCGTCATGAACGACAAAATGAAGCGCTTGGCAGCTTTCTGCGAGGCCCAACGCTGTGAAACTCCACTGCATCTGCGTAGTAAGATCGCTGGCCTGGAGGAGAAGCTGCGCCAAGTCACTGCCGAGAAAAACTACTGGATGAACCGCTGTAAGGATCTCGCTGATGACCAGCCGCCCGCTGCTGAGGTCGCCAAGGCGGACTTGCAGAGCGCCAAGAACAAGTCGCACGAGCGCACTAACTTGAAGTCCGGTGTGGGCGCCAACACGCGCGCGCAGTCTCAGTGCGACGGCTTCCAGAACGAAGACGCCTCCAGCGTGACGACGGGTGACGCGTCTTCACCATGTTGCGACGATAAGCTCATGAACGGCAATCCTGCCCCGCGCTCGCGCTTCCGACTGTTGCAGTGCTCGGACGAGCAGTGCGAAGTGTTTACGCCCGTCAATCGCAGCATTTGCACGCAGCATCGCTCGCGCAACAACGTCCAGCTCATGTGGGATGAGCCGCCCAAGACGGTGCTCATCGTGAAGAAGCCCAACGAGCCGGAAATAACGGACATGCTGGTGCGACTGGCTTCGTGGCTGCAGAAGGAGAAGAACATCGATGTTTTTCTTGAGCCCTCTGTGTACAAAGAGGTCACGTTGCCGAACGCCAAGACATGGGGCAGCAAGTCGGCGAACTGGGACCATTGCCAAGGCAAGATCGACTTTGTGCTCTCACTGGGCGGCGACGGCACGGTATTGTGGGTCTCGTCGCTCTTTAACAAGAGTGTTCCACCCGTCTTTTCACTGGCCATGGGATCGCTGGGATTCCTGACCCCCTTTGACTCCAAAGACGCCGTGAAGCAACTTGAAGCTGTCATCAACGGCGGATTCTACATGTCGCTGCGCTCGCGCCTTGTATGCACAATTTTTCGTGGGGACAAGGAGCGCGAGATCGGTGGCAACCTGCATGCGCTCAACGAAGTTGTGATTGATCGCGGCCCGTCGGGCGCGCTTGTCGAACTTGACTGCTACTGTGACGGCCTGGCGATCACCAAGATTGCAGCGGACGGCATCATCATTGCCACGCCGACAGGCTCTACAGCTTACTCACTCTCAGCTGGCGGATCCATGGCCCACCCGTCGGTGCCGTCAATGTTGTTCACGCCCATCTGTCCGCACACACTGAGCTTCCGGCCTCTGATTTTCCATGATAGCGCCACGCTGAAGATTGAGTTTCCTTCCAGCAGTCGTGCGTCCGCGTGCTACGTGTCATTCGACGGCAAGAATCGCGTGTGCATGGAGCGTGGCGATAGCATCGTTGTCCGTGTGTCATCGTACCCGCTGCCCTCGATTTGTCAGATCAACGAGAACCAGGACTGGTTTGAATCGATGATTACCAACCTGAACTGGAACCAGCGCCGCGCTCAGAAGCCCTGGCAGTCGCCTGGAGCCAGCAAGATGTAGGTGCTCCGCTCGTGTCTCAATGCCTTTGTGCCCATGGTGGACTCATGCTCTGATAGCACTGCGCGCCCGCTTTGCGCAGGTGCCTCGTTCGTACGTGCACCAGTGCTCACGTGCCGAGTATATTCTGCATTCAATGCGTGTGTACGATAGACAAATCACTGCGCAAGTCGATTCTTCGTCTGCGCTGGCATTTCTTCTCCTGCAGCCGACGGACGTTGCACATTTCTGCTGCGTGTGTCGGTCCCAATCGTTTGCTACGCACCATAGAGACACGACGGTGGTGCTGGTCGATACCATTACAGCGCGCACCGGATGGAGGAAGCGCCAAACGTCGCCTGCTGCCGTTGCTCGATCTCTGCTGGACATCGACTTAAACTGATTGTGCCACTATCTCTGCCGCTGGACACACAGTCTGCTGCCATCTGATTCTGACGCGGCAGGTGCCTTTGAGGTCACTCCACGGCACATGTCGTCACTATCGGCGTCTACAGCTGCAACAACAACTCTGCCGACGCCACTCGGTATCGCTCGATCGTACCGATCGCTCGCTCTGGACTCGGTACGCCATAGCACACACCTCAAGTCGTCGATTTCCCCTCTCGAACATTTGCCCATTTATCCGCCACGTCTTCTGAACGTACCACCTTTGTACCAGCTACTCGAACGCTCCCACGCTGTCGCCATCATCTGCTGCGACGCACTGTATACCGTACACAAACACATATTCAGCATACAGCATCGCTGTCTTGTGCCCGTCTGGGGTTGCAGCAGCGCGTCGTCACGTCTGGACGCGGGACCGCTTGCGCATCTTCTTACAGCGAGTGCGGAATCGAAGAGTGACGGTCACTTCAACGTCTGCGGTCGTTGATGTGGTGTACACCATTTTGGACAGCCTTTGCCCATCGATGGGGTCTGTGGTGTGGCGCACGTCAATTTAGAGGGTAACCGTTGCGCACCAGTCAATAAAAAAGTGGTGCAGTGTCCTGCAGCGCCCGTAGCTCCGGACAATCGCTTGCCCACGTCGTGAGCGATGGCGAGAGCGAACAAGCGCAAACTGAGCGCGGCGGCGCCTGTGGCCGCATCGACGCCGAAGAAGTCTTCGAAGTATGCGAAGGAGGCGGCCAAGCAAGAGCGTTACAGCACCGAGCGCACGAAGAAGGCACAGCTCTTTGACTCGGAGGAAGAAGCAGAAGAAAAAGAAAAAGAACAGGAGGACGAGAACGACAGCAGCAGCGATCAGGATGAGGGCGAAGGACCTGAGGTAGACGACGGGTTCTCGGACGCCAACAAGAAGTGGCTGAAACTCAAGCACGGCGTTGAGAGCGACGCGGACGAGGACAAGGAGGAAGACGACGAGGAAGAAGAAGACGAAGAAGAGCTGGATATTGAGCGCAAGGCTCGTTTGCTGGACGAAGAAGAAGCGTTGCAGGCCCAGGAAGCGGAGGACGACATGCGTCTGAACATTGCGAACAACGAGCCGTACCATTTGCCGACAGAGGAGGAGCTGGCAGAGGAAGCTGAGGACAATGCCGACATGTCGGACCCTGCCAAAGTCCATCAGCGTATCAAGGACGTGGTGGAGGTATTGGCGCAGTTTAGTGCTCGCCGGGAGCCGGGACGCTCTCGTGTGGATTACATGGAGTCGCTGGCTAAGGACCTGGCTGGATACTATGGCTACAACCGCGAGCTCATTGACATGTTCCTCCAGATGTTTTCGCCGGCAGAATGTGTCGAATTTGTCGAAGCGAACGAGCAACCGCGGCCACTGGTCATTCGTACGAACACACTGAAAGCGCGTCGTCGTGACCTCGCACAGGCACTTATCCAGCGTGGCGTGAACCTCGACCCTCTTGCCAAATGGTCAAAGGTGGGGCTGAAAATTTACGACTCGCCTGTTCCCATTGGCGCCACGCCCGAGTACTTGGCGGGTCACTACATGCTTCAGTCAGCGTCGTCCATCTGCGCTGTGATGGCGCTTGCCCCGCAGATGAATGAACGCGTGCTGGATTTGGCGTGCGCTCCAGGTGGTAAGACCACGTACATTGCTCAGTTGATGAAGAACACCGGCACAATAATTGCCAATGATTTGAAGAAGCAGCGTCTGAAGGCTACGGTCGCCAATCTCCACCGGCTGGGTGTGAAGAACACATCGGTGTCGTGCTACGATGGCCGCAAGGTGCCTTCGCTTTTCAAAGGTTTCGATCGTGTGCTGCTGGATGCCCCGTGTACAGGTTTGGGTGTGATTGCTCGGGACCCATCGATCAAGACGCAAAAGGGAGAGAAGGACGTGCAGCGGCTCGCTCATTTGCAGAAGGAGCTTCTTCTGGCTGCCATTGATGCCGTTGATGCCAAGTCGAAGACGGGCGGATACATCCTCTACTCGACGTGCTCCGTCATGGTTGATGAGAACGAGTCGGTCGTTGACTACGCTCTGCGCAAGCGCTGCGTAAAGCTTGTGGACACTGGACTCGACCATGGAAAGCCCGGCTTTACACGCTACCAGCAGCAGCGCTTTCACCCGTCGATGCAGCTCACTCGTCGATTTTACCCGCACGTGCACAACATGGATGGCTTTTACGTTGCCAAGTTGAAGAAGTACGCGAACACGATGCCGTCAGAGGAGAAAGATGCGAAGAAGACGAGCGACGAGCTTGAGGAAGAGGCCGAGGAGGCAAACATGACGAAGAAGCAGCGTGTGAAGGCCAAGAAGGAGCGTAAACAGGCTGCGCAAGATGTGGAGGCTGAGATCATCCAAGAGGATCAGAGCGAGGCTGAGGAGGAAGAGGAGCCGAAGCGTTTGGCAAAGAAGCAGAAGCAGGAGCCCAAGGCCAACAAAACCAAGAAGCGCGATGGCAAAGGCAAGAAGTTTGGCCGACCTCGCAAGAGTTAGAGCGCAAGTAGCAGGTGCTAACGAGGTCGCATTTGAATGTCCGTTCGAATCGTCCGGTGATGGATAGAGAACATTGTGTGTATTTTGTTCATGACGTGCATTGTGCATTTGTTTGTCACTCTTGCTGATACGATAGCGTAGACTTGTCCGTCTCAAAGAGCTTGATCTGGTTCCACACGCGGCACGAGACGTTCCTGCAGCAGCTGAATGCATCTCTGTCTGCACAGACTGTGCACGCAAATTTGAGCGTCATGACGGCCTTCTCGTGTCGAGCAGACGCGGTGTGTATCGCTAGCAGACTTCGCTGTGGATCAGCAATGCAATCCTGGCACAACGTTTCATTGCCAAGTGACCCACAAAGCCGGCAGTGTTTACTCTTGTAGAACGAGTCGATGGATCGACAGCCGCGACCTGACCGGTTTGTCGATGTGGCGTCGTCGCACATTTGCTGGCGAGCTTTTGTCGACGTTCTAGGTAGAGTTGCATACCACAGGCGAATGTTGGCTCCAGCCAGTAGCAAGAGTCGCTCGAGGCTTGGAATGATCTACAACAACAAGCAGTGGTCGATGATGCAGAACGATTGACGTCGAAGTCTCTGGAAAACAAAAAGCAGCAGCAATGCAGCTTTGTACCTGTTTGTTGATATAATAGTGGTAGTTGATGCTGTAGCGTCTTCGCTTGTCGAAGTACTCATCAGGTGACACGACCAAGTCCATGAGTCGTGCACCAGGGGGCCCATTGACGACAACATAGGGCACCCGCTCCGCGTACCGTGGCTCTGCTCGAGGGTCCTTTTCCATAGCCATGGCACTGACAAGCGCTGCAGGGGGCGCACTGTACAGATATTAGCCCACCATTCCACCAAGATCGTCGCCATTCATGCCGTCTCGTACCTTCCATTGCTGTACGTTCCTAAGCGAACTTCTTTCGCGAAGATGAAGTCTTTGAGCGGCACGCGGTTCTCCAGGATCTGTTGCCAGTACTTCTCGAGTCTCTCTTTCACCAGAGTCAGGTCGCACGATGCGAAAAGTGTCTCCAAAGACACTTGCATGGCGTGTTGGACCACTCCACAAGAGTCACGTCGAACCGTCTCGATCCCTTTTGAATCGATGACACCACTTTCTTGCGTCGGCGACTCAAACTTGTTGCCAACGTACCGCTTCTTGGATACGAGCAGACTGCCCATGTACACTTTCTCCAGCTTGAGCGTCACAGGTCTTATCGACGTCGTAGATAGAGTGAGTGAGTGTTAACGGACGATAGAGTCACGAGCACAAGGTTGGCATACCTGGGATTCGATGTGGTCACCGCGTCGGCGATCTCCTGCCCAACTCGAAATGCATCGGATTTGGACCTTCCTCGAAGCAGCACGAAAACGCTATCGGTATCGCCGTACACGACCTTTGCGTTCCAATCGGACCGCTCTTCGATCTGTCGAACAGCAGCTTCGAGCGTGCATCGTCCAGCCTGATCGCGAAACAAACAACGACAAACCAATACGCAGTCAGTAGATCTTCACCTACGATGACAAAGGTAGATGCACAACAAAGAACGTGCACTCGGACGTACCTGAACAATGGCATCGGCTAGCTGAGCGCACGGCATGCGTCCGGAAAACCCAGCCGCCGTGTAGCCGTATGTCACGTTCGAAATCATTTTCAGCGCCAGCTGACGAGCGTTCAGCACCTTTTCCAGACGATCCCGACCAGCCTCCTTTGCCAACTTCATCGACTGCTTGACCATGACCCGAGTTGACAAGATTTCGTCTAGGATGAGCGGAAGAACGCCTTGACGGTAGCTCTTGGGACAGAACAGCGTCCCATTCGGCGCAATAATGATGTCGTCTTTGCATTGCAGTAGCCCAGAGGAGTTCGGGGTGAAATCGACTACTCCGAGAGATGTCTCCAGCTCGGGATGCTGTCCATCTTTTAGACGCCCTAGTAAAGTTGAGTAGCATAGATTGTACCCGATGATCAGCGACGGATAGAGGGACTGTGACGCCAACAGAATAGGAACGTTATGCGTTTGAAGTGACAGGAGCCGAACAAGGAAGCAGAAAAAAACAGCACATACCTGAAAATCCAGGACTACGATGGGGTCGGTGTAAAAGCTCGAATGAGGTTCCATGACCAGCGGAATGCACTCCATCGGGGCTTGACCGGACACTTGGTTTTTGCTCGGCGATACCAACAGAAAATTCTCCCGCTTTGTCACGCGCAACATGACCGCCTCAACTCGGTACTGTGATCCTCGCGACAAAACCGAGTAAAAGTCGATCCCAAAAAGCCGGGCCATTTCACTGCAGTGATGATCCGAAAACTAACAGGTTAGGAAGAGATCCGTAACGTCCGCTGTCGAGAGGAACGTACCTTGTTCGCGTGACCAGTTGCAATTTAGAAAGGATTCGGAGATTCAGCGTCGCTCGTTCGAGACAGTACCTGATCACCTTCCAGCGCATTTGATCGCCTTCGCGGAACCATGACGTCAATTGTTCAGCTGTGTATACTGGAAAAGTCCGCTGCAATACGGCTTCCACGACATCTTCGAGAGCATAGCGCGACAGCTTTAGCTACAGCACGACAAAGCATCGTCGTGTACAGCACACAATTGACGTCCGCTCCATCGATCGCAAGTGATCATAACTTGCCTACCTCTGAGCGAGTCATTCGCCAAAGATTGAGAACGTATCGGCCGTGTATCCATAGCCCAGCTGCCTTGTTGACATCCCAACTTGTACCGGCAGACTCTTCGTTTTGGCTGTTCCTATCTCGGTCCTGCACCTTAGTAATGGCGTTCCGAGGATCTACTGGCGATGACGGAAGGCGAGATAGCGACTGGATCAGATTGATCTGTAGCACTACACATGAGACTCGCGCTTACAGAACAAGCAAGAGACAGCACTCACATCCATTTGCGATGCTCGATCGATAAGGTACCCAACCGAAGCTTTCTGCACCTCAAATCCTACCAGAAAGTCTGGATCCCACCGCCTTATTAGTGCCTCTAGCGACCGGAGTAAACCACGCTCGTCGGCAGCATATGTTACTGATACACCACCACTGTCAACACACATGGCCACGCCTTCGAGAGTTGATGGATCCATGTCATCGACTTTTATCATGAGGAAGCCGCGCTCGCTTGTCGTAGAATCTGTCGGCCCTTCTTGGGCCTCCACTGCGTAGCATATGGTATTGACCGGGTCGTGGAGAGGATTTGGCAGCATGTTGCCACGCGACGCCGCAAATATCTCGATGGACAGTATCGTGACATTTGACAGAATCGCTGGTGTGTTCAATCTACCTGATGGCGATGCTGAACACGTCAAAGATGGCCGACCGCGCTTTCGTTGCGCCTAGAAACGTGCAGCATAGTGTCAGCACGAATGATATCGCAAATGTTTGATCTCTCACCTTTGCAAGAATGCGGTGGCTTTTGGCGTGATTCAAAGCCCACTCCGCAACAGCAGTGGCGTCTGGTGGCAACGATGCTGCCATCCGCAAACGACGTACCTGACAAGTGACATGGTGTGTGAGGTAGCTATTTTGCATGAATATATCTTCGGATAAGTCACACCTTTCCACCTCTCCCACGAGAGTCATCAGGGGTCTTCAGGTGCGAAAGTTTACGCCACGGCGCGTTCCGTGCACTGTCACCGCTACTGCAAAATGGGTGCAGCATCTGACGTGTTGCAGTGGTATCAAACACCGACAGGTTGCTCGTATCGTGTGGCGCAAAATCAAATTTCTTCCCGCCGAAGATCATGACTTTCTTAGGAATGTCTGCAGCGTTGCTGTAAAAGGCGGATTGGTACTGCAACACAGTCAGTCAGCATGTTAGTACGCCAGGCGGTTGACAAGGCAACACATACTCATCAAACCTGTATCTGGTCCACTCCAAGGTCGTGCGAAGACGAAAGAATCTGTGAGTAGGAGGGAGGCTCGGGGCTAAAGAGCCACAAGCGGTTGTTGCCTGTTGTTGGGACCGACAGCCTTGGCGTTCTTGATGTCATCCCGACGGGCTGTGAGAGCGGTATTTGCGACAGTCGGACACAGTCAGCTGGGTGTGGCTCTTCTTCCTGTAGCGTCAACGGTGCCGGTTCTTGCCGTCGCACCGAGATCAGATCTTCTATATCGCCAACCAAAGGCGCATTCGCTGAGCTGACAAATCTGACGGCCTTGACAGCACTCACAGACGACTCCACAGTTTTTGGGTCAGCCTACAGCAACAAACAAGAATGACGACAACAGACGATTTCCAACCTCACGCAGACACTGCTGTGGTGTTTGGACGATAACACGAGGGCTTCCAATTTCACTAAGTGGAGTTGCCATGACCCGAGACTCCCGCTCAGCGACATCCCACCAAGCATTGTCTTTCGGCAAGTCAGGTGCCGGACATGCGATACGAGCTTCAATATGACGCTGTGAAGCCATGATATCACCAGCCTCATCATTTCGATTGCCCCACTTGCTGACATCTACTTCTTCATCGCTTTCATTCAGCATCACGTATCCGTCCTTCTCATTTTCCTTTTCCCAGTCGTTATCATCTGCATGGTACGGGCCGTTTTCTTGCTGCATTGCTAGAAGAAGATTCACAATAGCTTCATCTTCTTCGACCGACTGTCGAAATGAAAAGTGTGATGAGATTATCACCACAGATCACAAACACAAAGGCTACCTGCTCGGGACCATGCTTGTCATCGTCTTGGACATCAGCTTGACTGTGAGAGTACTCGCTCTCCACGGCTATCGAGTTCCCGCATGATACCACATCGCTAGCGGGCAGGTGGTGAGGGCCAGCAGGAAGATCGGTGATCGCCGATCGTCCTTCGTCTTGCATCTTCAACTTTTCCATCACCTCGTCGACAGAATCTTTGAGCTTTTTCCTGAAAAAAGACTGCGACAACAACGATGATGCTGAGTGTGCCGATGAAGCGCTCAGCGACAGATCCCTGCTCGAGAACGCATCGGTATTGCGAGGGAGACTCAATGGCATCGTCGGTGTTCCCCCTTCTCCGTCCAGCATGCGTCGTAGTCTCTCTTCCTATCACTCGCAGAAGCATTGCATCAACTTTGCTTGCAACACCAACTCGCACAAGTGTTTTGTAAACATACCTCCCAAATGGCTGCTAGCGACGGCACATTACGTTGCTCACCCGTGCTCTCTGCTGCTTTCTGCTGGGACTCGAATCGCTTCGGGTTCAGAATGCATGCAGCCGCGACGTCGGCTTCTAGCGCACAGCTGGATTGCCGATCATACCATCGTTTTGGCGCGTGAAGCACCGGCACATATCGTCCAGCGAGAGGAGGCGCGGTTCGATCCAAGCCATTTATCCTGTCTGCAGGGACGTTTGATAGAAGAACAGTGCGGTATTCTCCTCCATTATTTGCAAGATGAGCTTGTGTGACAGGCAGAGGAAATCGATACTACCGAAATAATGGTCAGGCTTGCAGCTCCAACTTACGCACGATAGCCATACACCCCACGGACCAACCAAGTATACCTTAACGTTGCCGAATGCCACGCAATTCATCCCTTTAATGTTGTAATCAGCAAAAACCTACGCATGACAAGACCATGCGTCCATGAGCCACCACTGTAGCTCCCAAAGACGCACATCATTCCAAGCGATTCGTTACACTACTTGAAGCAAGAACGGTACGTGTGCCTCGTACGGCTGGAACCGTCGTTCACAGACATTTCCGCTTTCGAGCAGCTGCACCACGGCTGCTAGCACGCGCGGGTTGTACAGAAAGATTTGCACAAACAGTTTTGGACTTGGATGGTACCCGTAGAACGGCGTCCCCTGTACGATTAGCATCTACGCAGCGCGAAGTGAGTCTGCTTCTCGAGTCGACTTGTTTACAATCTACTCAGCATTGCAAGACCCACCTTGGCAATGATCCTACGACTCTGAGACGTCGAGCGTGCGTTCTCCTTCTTTTGACACGTTTGCTGCTGCTTTGAGACGCTGGCAGACTCGATAGCCTTAGCCAGTCGAGGCAAAAGCAAGCGCAGACGCTCTGGGTCGTCAAAGTCCGGGTCGTCTTCGGCTCGAAAGTAAAAGTACGGGAAGATCTGGCATCCAAATTAACGCATATTGTCACATTCGTAGCATCCTTTTGTGTACTACCGCATTGCGTGTATTGTTGACGCTGAAGTAACGCGACTAAAAGACACACACAGAGACACACCCCATGAACGTGTACGAGAGCTTTCTGTCCGGCGGGCGTCGCGCCAAAGATCCGAACGACGGGCACCTCACGAGCACGCGAATAGCACGGTGAGGACGGTAGGTGGTCGATTGCGCCCCTGGGCAGCGGTTGCCGCATGTAATAGTCCACGACAACGGCCTCAACGCGCAGCTCTCCGGCGTCGATGGGATTCATCGTCTTGACGCGGGCATGAACAGTTTTAGAAACGCTTTTCTTTGGTTGTCTCGTTCTATTTCTATTTGCTGACGAATCAGTGAATGGAAGCTTGAGTAATTGTTTTGGAGCCCAAAATAACACGGCAGTCAATACGCGGCGCATAGCCAGTGCAGCAACACAAACAGAGCATATACAGTATAGGCATGCATGCACAGTATACAAATGCATATGCGTACGTATGCAGAGCGCTGCGCCAACGTGTTGTTATTGCATGGCGCTTTTCTAGATGCAACGTCAACGAGTCAAAGCGCCTGTGGCTGCTGCTCGATCGAATGTGAATGCACTGCACCGAGACAGCCCTCGTCTCATCGGGCTTTTCCCCATCGACAAAGAGGATGTGCTTGGGCGACTACTTTTGGTCGCAATGCAGGTCGCTATGCTGCTTTCGCTATGCGGTTTCCTTACCCTGTTTCTGCTCGGTGCAGGGGGCACAAACGCTACCCGTTACCGTCTTTCCCACGGTCCGTTACAAGTGCGCGTTTGACGAGCGACAAAGTAGCGAAAAAAGACGGTACCGTGTACCACGATCGAGGTACGCGCGGCCCCCTGCGACGTGGTAACTCGCCCGCGTGCGTGTGTTTCGTGCACATTCCGCACGATGAACCGACACGCGCTGGCTGAGGCCACGAGTCTGCACGACGGCCCCGTGCCCGTGTACCTCATGGAAGAGATCGCAAGTGCGTGGACACGTGGCTACCGAAGCTGCTGCGTCGGTGCGGAGTGTCTCACGCTGTGTGCTTATGTTGCGGCCAGACGCGACACGCGCGAGCGAGCGCGACGCCGAGAAAACCGCCGACTTTATGCTCGCGCGACTTCACAAGAGCAACTTGAACGTCAAACTGAAGGCGCTGCAGATCATTTCGGTACGTCTGTAGTAGTGGCTAGTAGTAGTAGTAGTAGTAGTAGTAGTAGTAGTAGTAGTAGTAGTAGTAGTAGTAGTAGTAGTAGTAGTAGTAGTAGTAGTAGTAGTAGTAGTAGTAGTAGTAGTAGTAGTAGTTGTTGTAGTAGTAGTAGTAGTAGTAGTGGCAGTTGTGGTTGTTGTTGCTGCTGTTGCTGCTGGGTGTTTTGCTACTGAACCGATTGAGCATTTGTTTGTTTGTTTGTTTGTTTGTTTGTTGTGTGTGTAATTGTAGTTTTGTATCCGAAACGGCAGTCGCTCGTTTGCTGAGGCTGTTCGCGACAAGGAGCAGGAGATTGCCGTGTACTTGCGTGCGTGATTGAGTGGGATGCACTGCACGGCATTGTGTGATTGACGATGCAGAGGGGTCGAGGAGCTAAGTTGCTGGACTTGTTGTGGCTGTTGTGTGCTGCTTTGCGTCGAGGGACTTGTAGAAATCTCAGGTCTGTCGGATCCAGTGTATGGTGACGAAAAGTACCGCCGCATTCGGGTCGCTGCACAGGTTTGAGCTTGTTGTAGCGCAGACGACAGACGGAAGTTGCGTGTCGATGAAGGAGTGTTGACTGACGTCATGTCGTCGGTCTGCTTCTGTTGCAGGAAGCACTGGTGTGCTTGAATGTCAGTTTCCTCTCGCGTCAGCAGGACGAGCCGCCGCCACCGCCACAACAGCACGCTCTTCAGGGGGACGCCGACAGCTGGCAGGCTTCAGCAAGAGACAATGCGCCAGCTTATGGTAGTGCTGATACTGCGTGCCACCAAGCGGAACGACAGCACACGAGTGTTGGTGGATCGTGGGGACAACCGCAGCCTCCTGGCCGACCGATGCCTTATCAGGATAATCCATCTGAAGGCTACGCTAGGCCGCCTGGACCGGCAAGCTATGACGGACGCTCGGGCGGAGAAGGTCACCGTGGCTCTGAGAGCGATAACAATCATTTCGGGCAAAACGGTGGTGGCATAGGGGGATACGGCAACACCCCGAACTGTCCGCAGAGTAGATATGGCCAGAGTGCTCAAGCACCGCAGCCGCCGCAACGGCAAGCAAGCGGCTTTGGCTCGTGGTCTGCCCAGCCGGGATCTGGCGTGGCGTCGAAGAGCACTGGCGCCGGCACTTGGAGCAGTTCAGGCTATCAGAAGAAGGACCTTGCGGCAGAAAATGATCCGCGCTACAACCCGTCCATGCGGCGAGACAACCGCCCGACAGTGCTTGTGGGACACGCGCTCAACTTTCCAAAGCCAGCGGGAGGATTCGGCAGTAGCAATACGAGCGCAACGTCAGGACTTGGTGGATTTCAAAGTGGTACATACAATCCGAACGCCGTTCGTAGCGCTAGCGGTGCGACTGCGTTCAATCCGAATATGGCTGAAGGCAGTGCGCCAGGCGGCTTCGCTAGCCATCAGGTGGGCGGAGCACCGTCATATGCTGACAAAATGAACCGCATGAGCGGCAATGCTCACCGCATTGGTAGCATGGGTCTTCCGGTCAACGGACAGCCTCTTCCGGATGCGCTACCGACGGCTCTCGGCAAGAGAGCAGAAGTGCTGAAAAAGCTAGGTACAGCAGCGCTGGAAAAGTGGGACCGCCGCAATATGGACAAATCGATGGCGTCATCCCTGGCTGATCACGATGAATTGCGCGCTGGTCCGCAAATTGTTGAACACGGTTATTATCAGTCGAATGCTCGACGGGGGGCAGGTGGGGGCGACACCAGCAGGTACGCGTTTCGCATCGATGTTCGTTGGCATTGGCTGGAGTTTTGGTAATCGCTGTTGCTGTTGACACACAGGGACTACGAGCGCACGATGATCGACAACTTGTGCGCACCGGCAGGTCTTTCGCGCGCGCCGCCTGCAGATGGGCTCAAACGGTTTGTCGACCTTGCACAGACACTGGATGCGCAAACGATTGGAGACATTGTACTGGACAAGCTAGAAGACGAGACTTGGCAAGTTTGTCTGAAAGGTTTGCACGTAGTACAAGCGCTGCTGGATTCACCAGGTGCAGCACCATACGAGGAGTTTTTCGAGGAAAATGTGGAGGTTATCGAAGAGGTTTGTTTCGGCATAGCGTATGCAGATGTATGGTGATCTCGGCTGACAAGCGTTCGTCTTTGCTCGAATATAGCTGCGAAAGGATGCCAAACCTAGCGTAGTATCGAAGGCAAAGCAGGTTCTGCGTGCGCTCGGCTACGAAGACGATGCCCACGAGGCTCCTAAGCTTGACAGCAAAGGCGTGGGCGCTACACGACTTCAGCGTGGCAGATCCCCGAAAGACCGTGTGCAGCAGCCACAGCAAGAAGTGGATCTCCTAGGCTTTGACTCGCTCAGTCTCGAGTCATCTGCTTGCCCTGTTGATCATGGTGCTACGGCTTCGGTGGATCTCCTTTGCTCTCCGGTCCGCCCACAGCCGCCACCGGCTTTGACGTCTATGGAGGAAGTCCTGGTACGTTTGAGCTCTGTTTGCGTACGACGTGCAATGCGATCTTAACGTCAAACACACTTGCTTTGCCAACTGCTTTGCAGCTCCTGGATGGCTATGATACACAAGCAAGCTCCGGTCCTCCGTACGCTCCACAGCAGCAAGTTGTTCCGAAAGCATATGCGCAGTTGGCTCAAGCTCATGTGGATGAGCAGAACAAAGCAATGAGCCATTATAGAAAGGGCTTGTTCTCAATCGCCAACTCTCCATGCAGCGCGGGGACAGCCGTTGGCACAGCACCACGCTCTGGGGCTGTCGACAGTGTGTGCCTGGGCGGCGGTAATAATCACTCAGCATTCGCATTCATGTAGAGTACTTGCGCGACCGTGCTGGAGCAGAAGAACTCGCACTTGACGAAATAAAGGCGTAGGCCATGACAATACGAACAAAGCTTGACTCTTGTAACGCTGCGCGCATTTTATCGTTGGAGTTGACGTAGACACCTGGGGTAGATAGATAGGCCGCACTCAAGCTCGAGCACGCTTCTTAGCGGAGCCATTTCCGGAGACGCCTGATCTGCGCTTCGCTTTTTTTCCGCATGCGATGAATTGATCTGGGTCCCACAACTCTTGCCGAATGTTGTTGAATGGCCCGTTTAAGATGATCATGACCTTCGTGTCGCGATGATAAGTGAGCCCCGTGATAAGCTTTGGAGTAATGAGGAAGTATTGTGGCAGCTTGCTACCACACGACGACTCGGTGATTCGCTGGAACACCTTACGTTCGTTGTAAACATCCATGCCCTGGTTGATCTCATCGACCACCCGAAACGGACACTTCGTGAGGCTTTGGAGAGCCATCAAGTACATGATAGTGCCGACAGATTTTTCCTGTGAAACAACATTGTAAGCTAACTGACGAAGAGCAGCCTCAACACGAAGTCGATAACGTACCCCTCCAGACTGCTCCTCGGCGGTCATGGTCGAAAGTGTTGTATCTTTACGAAACTGTGCCCGACGCTGGATACCCCATTTTGCTACGTCCTGAACATTTCAATCCAGAACAAGCGTCATCAGTGTCGATCAAGCTACAGCTGCAACCAACTCGTTGGCCACAACTTGTTTACCGGATCGTTGTCGTCGAGCAAAATTTCGCCAACACAACCAATGCTTTTGAAGAAGTCCCCAAAAGAAGTGTCGATCTGCTGCACTACTTCCTTGAGTTTCTCATGCCACCCGCCCTGTGATTCGCACGACACGATATCAACAAACGGCCGACAATAAACGCATCATGTGTCGCACAAAGCGCACCTTGATCCCGCTTATCGTGTCCTCACCACGAGCAACGCGGCTTTCCAGGTCTGCGAGCTGAATCTCGTCGTCTCGGATTTCGCCGCACACACGTTCGTACAGTTCGCGTACGCTATTGTCACCGCGAAAGCATTCCAGAGCTGCTTTGTTGTTCTCAATTTTGCCTCGCAGCTCATCCAGGTCATCTGGAAGCTCGTTAAAGCGTTCTTCGTAAGCTTCCCACGTCGCCTCTGCTTCTGCTCGATGCTTCAGCTGCATGGCTTTTGTGGCTATAGCCAGCAGCTTTTCTTTCGCAAGCTTGTAAGCGTTTCGGAGGTCCCTTGACAAACGGAAAGTGTAAGCGCTGGCATTACATCGCAGAAATGTACGCACAAAGCTTACCGGAGGGCGACTTCCATTTGCTTCAGGTATCGGTCAGTGAAATCCACACGGACTTGCTGTGTACCGAGCTGCAGTGATAAATACGCCTCGCGAGCAGTGACCTTGTGCAGATCTTTCAACAGCTGCAACCAACGCTTTATCTGCTGTGCTTGCCTGTAGTGATGCACATACGCAGAGTATCAGTATGGTACGACAACCTACCCGTCATCAACAGCCCCGTTTGACGTACTTCGTAGTCTGATTCCTTAGCTTCCTCGTCAAGACTTCCTCCCTCTTTGACACGTCCTGAACAGCAAAGATGTAAGCGTTTCACGCAAGCAAAGTAAAACACTCGCTCACCCACCTGGGCGACCTCACTTTTCAGCGAGTATATCTTGTTGCCATTCTCAGCAATCTTGTCATCCAAGCGAATTATCGCCATTCGCTGGGAGCGGATTTCTGCGATGCGATGCTGGACTTTTCTCTTTTCTTCCGCATACGTCTTCTCTTGCTCTTTGAGGTCAGCCGTCTGCAACGGTGTGCAAAACGTTAGTACGTACGATCAGGGACATGAGCGCGTCATCGCCCACCTCTTCTTGAATACTCCTCTCCTTAGAGCTCAGATCATCCAGGACTTTTTTTATTTCAGCCTTCTCGTCTTCGACTGATGTGGAAGCCGCCAACAGACGAGGGTTCAAAAGATCGTTTGTGCGCGTAGTCACGTTCCGGTTTCCATACTTGGACACTATGTAAAGAAGCAACGTTAGCCACATCAAGCACACGACATCACGGATGGTTGCATAGAGTGAATGGCGACATGAACCTGAGGTAACGTATTTCTTGTACGGAGTCACAAAAGCCGCTTTTCTCTCTGCCGACGCGATCTCGGAGAAAATGTGACCGCCTTTGTTGATAAAGTCTTCCGTGAGCTGAGAGCCAACCATGACGGTGTGCAGACCACCGTGCGCACGAAGAGCTTCGTGCACAATATCCGGAGCACACACCAGCTTATCACAGCATTCCAAACGTCAAACAACGAACATCAGCTTGTAGACATGCACTGTTGCGTACTTCGTCCAAGAAGCCTGTCATGCCATATCTTTCGCGGTAGTCGTTTATCTTATCGCTCGAGTACGGTCGATTGAACGCATGGCACTTTCCGTCTTCGACGTTCAAAATCGAGGCCTTGATGTGACGACCCGAATCTCCGCTTTTTAGCTCGTGAAGAATCGTGTTATAGTCGTCATAACACTCCGTCACTAGCGCGCCCAAGAGCCACTTTGGCAGAGTGTCTTCCACATACTTCGCATGAATCGTCTCATTGAGTTTTATCTACAGCAGACAAACAAAGTTGCCATCGGCGATGAGTCCATTCGTTGACGCACACTTAGCATGCAATGGTTGACTACAACAAGTTCATCACTTACCTCAAGCGCAACTGGCCCCCACACTTTCCGCTTCAGCCGATGTTGATTATTTTTGACCCAATCCGCTGCACGGATACAATCAGGATCGACCCTCTGGAGAGCCAGTCGACGCTGGACGTCCTCGTTTTCGAGTGTCTCAAGCTTGCTTCGCACCTTTTTCTGCTCATTCTCGATGTACGAGAGCTCGCGAGCAAGGGATTCTCTCTTACTGCGAATTTCTGTCTCCTATGCACACAAGAAGACAGTTTCGCGGTCAGATCACAGGTGATAGACGCTTCAATGTACCATGGGTCCAGCGTACCTCCAGATTTTTACCGCGTTGCTGCTTTTCTAGCTTCTCTTTTTGTTCTTTCAGATCAGCGTCGTCAGTCATGGCTTCGCGCTCTTTTTTCCACTGCACAAATCGAGCAGTCCAAGTATGCTTATCAGATATAGACGCCAACGCACATATTGCGTGCGATGCCATAGGTACAGACCTCCACCATATCATGTTCCAATCGCTCAAGTTTCCGACGAGCGGAAACGTGCCGGGTGCGCAGCTCTGTGACATCGATCGAGGTTTGATCTTGCGCACTTTCCATGGAGTCGATCTAAAAGTCCAGCGTTATTTGCTGTTCGATCCGATGATACAAAACAAACGCAAAGGTCAATCTCACGTACATGACTCTTTCCCTGTCGAATCTTCTCGACGAGTTTTCGCTTCTTGTCTTCCACCTCTGCTAGCCTAATTGTTTGTAGCAGAGACAGATATTAGTTTTGCACTAGCAAAACACCTCAGTGAAGGCAGCAAAGGCGCACTCCGTCTTGATGTCCTCCAGTTTGATCGACTCTTTCTTCAGAAGATTCGCAAGCGGATCGATCTTCTCTTTGCGTTCAATCTGCAAGTATATTACCGTAACGTTCGGTACCATCAGCTCGGCCATCGACAACGTCAAGTAGCCTGACATAAACACTCCTCACGCTTATAGCTTCTTTGCAAAGCCGCTTTTCCTCCTTCAGCGTCTCAACTTCAACTTTGGCTTCCTCAAACTCAAGCCACAAACACTTCTTCTCCATCACCGATGTCTACAAAGACCAGCCGATGCAGCATGTATCATCAGCAAACACGAGGACGCAAGGAGACGTGACAGTATAAATCCATCCTGCATCGCTAACTAGACAGCTAGACAGTACCTCTTCGATGCGAGCTTCATAGTCTTCGATCCTGTTCACCTCGTTCTGCCGCTGAGCGTTCTCACTCTTCTTCAGTCCCAGCGCCGCGCGCGCATGTTCCAGTTCCTACGAACAGAACGCAAAACAAACAGCAAGGCGCAAATCAGGCATCGCTATAGTCTCTTGCCCATGCACCTTCCCATGCAAAACATAAAAATATATACACATACCCGTCTCTTGTCCGACATGCTATGTTGCAGCTCAATAATCTCCTCGTGCGTGGCAGCGAGCTCGCTGTCGGTCACAGCATTCTCCGTTGCTTTCAGCAGCTGCACGGGGTTCATCCTCGAGAACTCGCCGACTTTGTCTTGCGGCAGGAACTGGCACAAGTTGTCAATCTGAATGCTCGCTGCCTCCATGATACTCGTCACGTCCCTGAGCGTCGAGTCCTTGCCGTCGACCTGCCACGTGCTCTTATTGTCCCGGAAGATATTGCGACGAATGACCCTATTCTTGCGCGCAAAGAAGAGCTCGATCTCCGTGTAGCCACTCGCCTTTTCGTGCCGCACAAACTGCCCCACTTTGTCTGCACGTCCGAGCAGCTACAACAGACAGGTAAACAAACAAACAAACAAATAAACAGAGTGTAGCGTCGCACACGTCAGCAACTGATTGTGTGCCATCGACCGTGGTAGTTGCTGGTGCCACTTAGCAGTTACTTCAGCCAACCCAAACAACGGCGATACCTACGCGCGTGCTGCCTGCGAGCCCCACGCAGAGCGCGCAGACGATAGAGCTCTTGCCGGTGCCATTGGGCCCGAGGATCAGGTTCAGACGAGGCCCGGGGAAGAACTCGGCGTCCGAGTACGTGAGGAAGTTGTGCAACTTGACGCGGAAGATGGAGCCGTCGACGAACTCGTCGCAGCTGTGCGAGTCCGCGACAGCGACGTCGGCCATGACCCGAGTCGACGAAAACTTCTGACGTGCAGCCGCCTCGAATGGGTTCGATCGTCGATGTCAAAAAGACACGGGTTTTTCACGGGTTTTTCGGGTTGCCGTGGGTGTTTCACGACAACGACTGCAAAAAACACACAAACGCACACCTCGACGCTGGTTTCTTTCCACCCACCGCCGTTTGTTTTGTCAATTTCTATCGTCGTTTCTATCGTCGTTTCTATTGACCTCTCACCTCCACCAAAGTGTGTCGAGGCGAACGTCATGGCGCAGCAGCTCGTGGCGGCTCACGCGGTGCGGTCTGTCGCGCCCCTCGCGCGCATCAGCAAACGCTATGCAGAGCTCAAGACGGTACCGCTGCGAAGCTGCAACAACGCGCTGCTCGGGTCGCTCCCGCAGATGCCGTTTACGGGCTTTGAAGTGCTGTTCTTAGGTACAGGTGCAGGATCGCCATCGGCTCGACGCAATCCAACGAGTGTTTGCGTGCGCTTGGGACGCAGTAACTGGATGTTTGACTGTGGCGAGGGCAGTCTGCAGCAGATGATCAAGAGCACAATGTGTGTACCGCACACGACGAAGTTCTTCGTGACGCACTTGCACGGCGATCACGTCTACGGCCTGCCAGGGATTCTCTGTACGCTGGACAACCACAACGCCGAGCACACGGACCCACGGACGAAGATCAAGTGTCCACGACCTGTGGACGTCTATGGACCGCTTGGACTGTTTTCGTACTTGAACACGGCCATTTCGACAAGCAGCACGAGACTGACGAACCTCAGGGTCACTGTGCATGAGCTAGTGTGTCCCGGTATGCTGCACAAGACGACGGCGCATGAGAAATTCATGCGGAATGCACCACAACATCCTGTATGTCTTTTGTTGCGTCGATTGGTGGTGTATCGACTGCGTGGGAGGGCGATGGCTGAGTTGTGAATGGTGTGGGGGTGGATGTGGTGTTGTAGAGTCTTCAGCGCAGGTGGATTCACGCGGAGTCAGACGGCGACAATTCTGTATGGAACGTGCTGGATGATGGCAAGTTTACCGTGCAAGCAGCTACACTGAAGCATACGGTTACGAGCTTTGGGTATGCTCTTACTGCGGTATCACTAAAAGCAGGTGCTAGGGGCTGACACGGCATTGATGCTGTGGATACAACAGTTATGTCGTTGGAGAATACCCGTTTCCTGGAAAGTTGAACACCGATGCGCTGCGTGAGCGAGGTCTGCCGCCTGGACCGAAGTACCGTATACTTAAGATGGGGGGTAGTGTCGAGCTGCCGAATGGAGAGACTGTTTACGCGTCGGAGGTTGGTGGACAGCCTTGTCCGACTAAGACGCAACCTACAACTGTGTTGAGCCTTTGCAGTACGACTGACGACGCTGCTACTGCGTTGTAGGTAACTGGACCAACGGCTCGCGGACGAAAAGTGGCCATTCTTGGCGATTCAGCCGACTCTTCCAGAATGTTTGATATAGCACAGAACTGTGATGTAAATGATACCAGCGCTTTATCTAGTGATCCATATCGTAGAGCTTACTAACCTCACGTGCTGTTGGACACTTCGGGCAGGTATTGGTCCATGAAGCAACGTTGAGTCATAAGATGGTCAAGCAGGTATGTGCGATGCTAGATGCATAACAAAGGTATCTCGTTTCTCGGATAAATCGCTTTCGTATGTATGATCTTGCAGGCGGTGCATCGTGGACACTCGACGGCTCGCATGGCAGGGTATGCGGCTAAGAAGATGAACGCGACCTTACTCGCGTTGACGCATTTTAGTCACCGGTTCCGGCACTGGTCAGACAGCTACTACGCGTTTACAACGCTTCATCTGGCGTTGGAGGCCCAAGCATCTTTCGGTCGACGAGCGGTTGTACCTGCATCTGACTTTCTCCGCATTCCTATCCCCCGCCCACCTCATGAATAACGCATCATAGACGAATGCAGAGGTGTCGTAGACAGCAGCATTGCTGCCGTGTCTCGACTCCGGTCGCTGCTTTCCGCAACACTGACATAGATATAGAGGAGGTTCTTAGACATCTATATTGGTACTCGAACGAAAAGGCATGTAATCCCACTAATGAAGCTGAGCGTCGTAGTCTCATCTGGCAACCTCAATCACCTTGACCACGTTAGCTGACGGCGATACGGAATCATCGAGTCCGTGAACGAGAACAACAACTCCACCGCTCTTTATCAAGCCCGTCTCCTTTGCAAAGGTGATGGCTCTCGTTGTAAGATATTCTATACCTGTCATAGATTCCACCAGCAGCGCTGTCACTCCTCTGCAGCAACATCATCAAGAGCAACAACGTCAGTCCACATCCATCCGCCTTCAGCCTACGATCGATTCCGAACGTACCTCGATACTCCAGCAAGCTGACGCGACGTCAACGTAGAGGATGTGACAGCCAATATGTTAGCCTTCGGACGATACTTGGCAAGCAGCTTCGTACTGCAACCTGTGTCGGTGATCGAAACGATCAGCTTGGCGTCCATGTCCAACGAGATCTCGACAGCCGAGCTGGCAACAGATTCGCACAGGGTTCCGTGGCATCGGTTTGCAGCCCGATGCAGGCGGTACACTTCGGCGTAGTCGAGCGCTTGCTCGGCTTCGACACAAATCCTGGCCATGGTTTCAACTGCTTCCTTCGGGTACATGCCTTTGGCAGTTTCTGCTGATAACATCATAGCATCGGTGCCATCTAACACGGCGTTTGCGACATCGGTGCATTCCGCGTTGGAAGGAAGAACTTTCTTTGTCATAGACTGTAACAGTTGTGTAGACGTGACCACGGGCTTCCCAGCGCGGTTGGCTTTGCTGATTATCACCTTCTGCGCTAAGAACACTCGTTCGGGTGACAGCTCCATTCCGAGATCGCCACGACTTACGTGAATGCCGTCAGCTTCAGTAATGATCTCGTCGATGTTCTGCAGAGCCTCCAGGCTTTCAATCTTAGCGTGAACACGAATGTGTCGACCCGCTTCGCCAAGGCAGTTTCGTATCGCACGCACGTTTGCAGCAGAGCGCACAAACGAACCTGAAACTATATCGACGCCATTCGGAATCGCAAAGTTCAGCAGATCGTCTCGATCCTTTTCCGTGATGCCGGGTATCTGAATTGCCGCTCCTGCACGTCGGCAACAACGAACAAACAACTTAGCGCAAAGCATACACACAAACATAATGTTGCTGCAACAAGGACAACAACAATAACGTACCTGGTAGATTCATGTTCTTCTTCTCCTCTAGAACATAGTCATTGTGCACTCGCACAATGATCGACTCTGGCAAGCATTCGAGGACTGTCATCACGAGTCCCCCGTCATCGCATAGAATCGTAGAGCCAGCTGATACGGACGTTGGCAGCTGTTTATACGTGCAGGCAATGCAAGCGCTGTCACCTTCCACGCCATAATCCGTCGTGACCTCTAACGTCTGTCCAGCCTAATCGCCGGCAATACACACAAGCAGCAGCAGCAATCGTCGTTACACACATGCCCCAGCTCTACTTGGCTCCACATAGCCACCCAAACCTACACACCTTCAAGTGTACAGGACGATGCCTCTTCAGAAAGCCGCTTCGAATCTCTGGGCCTTTCGTATCCAACAGCACGGCACAGTGACGACCCGGTCGTGCCGCCATGGCTGCCCTCAGATTCATCAGACTCTTCAGGTGCACTTGATGGTCTCCATGTGAGAAGTTCAACCTGGCAACATCCATCCCGGCATCCAGCAGCTGCCCTAGAAACACGCCCACCCACACCCACACAGACACACAGACACACACAGACACGTCACGCACGATGCGAATGGCGCCAAAGCATACCGAGGCAGCAATACCATACCCAACATCTCGACCGACCACGACGCCGGTCCAATCGCGCAGATGATCTTTGTCTTGCGCACTTGAGCGGTCGTTGTCCGGGTGAGAATCTGCTTGAGCTCAATCCCAACGTGGAAGCGCTACGGTACATACCCACACACGTGTGCCGTGTCACATCCACATAGTCGAACGACCAGTAGCAGATACAAAGAGAGAGAGAGAGAGAGAAGAGACGGGACACGCACCGCAGGGCCCCGCGCAACGGACGACGAGTCGGACGGACACACGGGCGCGTACGCGTGTGACAGCGAGCGGAAGCAGCGCCAACTGTCGAGACGCACGGGCGAGAAACCGCTCACTCGGACCTGGTCGTACGCGGACGATGGCGTGCGCAGGATGTTGTCGTCGTGGGGAGCCGCTCGGTGCGCGTTGTGGCGCCCGTTCGTGCGGTACGACTTGCTGCGTGACGGTCAGTTGGCGTCTGACGCATGCGCGAAAAAGAAGTGTGCTGACGACTAGAGGAACGCGCAATTGTGCGTGGCCCTTGTGATTTGATACCAGGCGCTGCGTTGTGTGGACTCGCATACTTGATACTGTACCCCTTCGATGCTGCATGTCGTGACCCGCGGGTTTTGGACGCCGCGTGCCAAGTGCCCGCAGGACCCGCCTGACCCGCACATAAACAAAACGAGAAACCCATGTCGGACGTGCTGTATTCGCGCTCGCAATGAGTGACTCGACAAGAGCAACGGGTGACCAGGACGCGCGTCCACCGTCGACGAAACGATTGGGCGACGACCGCACGTGGGACGATACGCTTGTGCACAATGGCGCCAACGCTTCGATCGTAATTGACGATGCGACAGTACGGGAAACGCCGTGGACGCCCAAGAGTCTCGGACGCGCAAAGACGGCCATTGTTTATAAAGTAACGACTTGTGCCGTGTCGGCAACGAGAGTGCTGCGTGCAGCCACTGACTTGACGTGTGTATGCGCTGTATGTTGATTTGACACGCTATGGAGCAGCAAACACTGAACGACACGCTGCTCGTATTGGAGCGCGGCTTCTTCTTTACCAGTGGATGGGTGCCGTATTTTGTGTCGTTGCAAGAAGACAGCATCCTGATGTTTACCACGCGGGAGCGATGGGAGCAGGGATACAAGCCCGACAAGGTGACGGACGGACGGACGGAGTGCGGCATGTTGTGGAATGGCGCTAACGTTCTTTGCTGATACGCTTTGCTACTGTTCTTCGATGTAGGTCATTGAGCTGCACGACAGGCTGCTACTTGGAGAGATGCACGTCGAGGTGGTCGGGCGCTACTCCTCGACAGACGGCACCGATGGCACGTCGCGACTGTTTCATCGCAAGTTGCTGGAGCTCGATCACGTACACGAGGTATCACTTGCACTTGCACGACTGACGTGCGTCTGGTTACAAGAGGCACGTTTGCACGATACTCAGACGCTGCCTTTTGTAATATGTCGTTGCTGGTGCGTTACAACAGGTACACGAAGAGCATCCACACGGCGTGATCGATTCGACAAGAGCCAGAGTGGACACTCGAGCTGTTGATGGCGCCCGCGCGAGCACGCAGTGCATTTTGGAGTTTGGCTCGAAAAGTCAGTGCACATTTGAGCTGTGGACAAAAGCAGTTCGCTACGTCTTGGCCGTTCAACGAGCAATGCAACTGCATCAACAGCGCAGTGACGAGAGCGAAGAATTTGACGATGGCACCGATGATGACGATAGCACCGAATTTGTCAATGGCCCAAAACAGTGCTGGGTGTCACCGGGACAGGATTTGAAGGTGACGCTGCTTCGAAGTGAACTGTGGTGCAGCCGCGTGCTTTCGGGCGAAAAGGAGAAAGCTGCGTCTGAAATCCGGCGGATCGTAGCAATGGAGAAGCTGGTGGCTCAAGTGGATCATTCCCAGATGGCTCTGTTGGTCTACGAGAAGGTGAGCCGCGTGCACGAGTTGTTCGCTGCCAACAGCAGGCGAGAGATTGAGGGCGTTGATGCACGAGCGGCTCCGCTGTCAGCAGAAGTTCTTCGCTTCTTTCTCGACCATCTCAAACGGAAGTACTCTGTGTTCTTGATCCTCGCACTGACCTACGGAGTCAAAGACACGGAGATCCGGCAAGCGCACGAGCGCATGTGTCACGAAAACGCGGCCGTCCATGCAGGAGTTGGCGGCGGCAGTGGTAAGCAGCATCAAAGTGTTGCTTCGTGTGGGTTCCAAGACCCCGAGAGCATCGAGCTGTACGAGAAATACCGTGACGCAGCAGCCAATTACCACCGAGTGAATTACGGCGACACAAGTGCTGCCGAGGAAGAAGATGCCATCATGCATCTGCCTGTGATGCTGCAAGTTGCAGTTGTTCGACAAGACGTCGACGAGTCGAGCGCGATGCTCTCTATCCTGAACACTGTCAAGACGCGTCTGAGGGAGCATTGCTGCAGGTGAAAAGGCGAGCAGGGGCTACGTCGCACGGCTGAAGCCTTCCTGTGCCACAGCAGTGTCAATGTGGTCGTGGAGCTGGTACACGAGCTGTCGAAAGCGCCGGTTGTTCACGTAATGCTTCACGAGCAGAGCCAGTCCAGCACAGTCGTCTTGTTCCTCCGACGTGGTCAAAGGCACTGCCGAGTTTTCCACAAGAGGGTCAATCCCTACCACACAACAACAGCAACAACAGCAACAACAGTAACAATATCAGCCAGCCTCCACATGGTCTGCTGCCTGCTCTGTCTCCTCGTACCCCACGTGTCCATCATCAACTCGGCCGCTCGTAGAGCCTCTTCTCGATCGCGCAGCCGAACGCTACCGCATCAACCAATCACGACCCGTTAGCTTTTATACGGAGGGAACGCAGCAGCAGCAGCAGCCGCAATAGCAACACTGTTATCCGTTGCTGGTGTACGTCAGGGCATTGCCGTCGTTGAGTGTGTCAGCGCGCAAGAGTCGTCCTCGAACGCGCACGCACTTGATGTCGTTGTGCGGGATGCAAAGCACAGTGGCAGTTGTAGACGGACTCGCGCGTAGCGTCAGGTAGCGGTCGTCTACAGTCAGCGCAAAGCATCGGCGGAGTGCCTGAAGGCCCCGACGCGCGCCGCTGTCTCGTCGGTGCCGCACGACTTGCACTTCGAACATGGCAATGCGGGCAACTTCAACTTCAAGACGGCAGGCAATGCGCACTGAGTTGCACCGGGTTCAGCCGCTGACCATCACTCTCATGTTGAAGTCAGTGCGGGTACACGCAGAATCTTTTGGGATACCAAGAGAACGAATGGCGTTGGGCGAGAGAGTGGCTGTTCTTTGTGCACATGCAATCACAGGTCACGCTGAAACATAAACGGGACGTATGCCACGCGCTCACTGGATTGTCGCCATTGCTGGGAGTGGGAGTGGGAAGGCGACGGTCAGCAGCTGCAGCTTTTTGGCCAAACGATCAGTGGTGGACTCGTTTCTGGCATCATTTGTTCGAAAAGATCCTGGACTTACCGCAGTCTCGTAAACAGGAACAACTCGGCACCTGCGTAGGGTCAGCAGGCGTGGAGGACCGCGAGAGTGCCTCGGGGTCCTGTTGGACCCCTTTGTATCACATACCGCCGGTCTGCCTTCATCGAATGGTGCCCCGGCTTTTACTGGCGACGCCGAAGGGCGACGCAATTCGTTAGTGGACGGAAGGTGATATCCGAACTTCTCCGCAGCTACTTGCTTTCTGTATGCCTGTCCGTGTGTTCACCTGGAAGTCACACACAGACTCGTACGCAACAGTGACCGTCGACGAACAGCGCGATTGTGCATATGCTCGACGCTTTCGGGCCAGCAAAGTCTCGAACGCCCGGCACTATTTCATGAGTCGGTATTGCTAGCAATAGCTAAACTTGCAGCAGAGTTCGCAGTTGTATCGACGCAAAAGGACATATTGTCGTGTGATTTGAATAACGGCCAGGTACGGTGCTGTTGCACTAGAAGTGACGTCCCTTTGAGCGCGTCCGTTACAAACACTCGTCGAGAAGCATATAGTAGTAGCAGGAAAGCTGACGGTGGCTGATCAATACAGTCTGTACCTCCACATGTCGCTCGTGTCGTTACGTTGGTCCACTTGCAATGACAGTAAATGACACTTGTCATACGTGGCTGTCGATAAAGGGCAGACGATGGATCGCGTCATCATAAAGCTAGAGAAACTAGAGAAGACTCTTGGTTTGGCTTCTGTCGCGCTGCTAGGAGTTTGACAGATGCGGGGCAGTCGTTTCGTCCACGAACGACAAACGCTACAAATTAGAGGGACCAAAGAGTCTGGTGCCACGAGAGTTCGATGAGCAGAGACTGACCGTGTTGGCCGGGTATGCTCGTTTACGGGGTCGCAAGCACAATAACAACATCGTATCGTTTTCTTGTTATACTGTCTGTACGCCTTATTTGTTTATTGCCTACTCCAAACTGAATCCAGTTCACTGGGCTGGATCACTTGTATCAATGGAAAGCTCCAAAGTTTGCTCCTCTGCCCATACTTACACCTCAGCGGCCATAGAAAGAGGTCGGTGGATGCCCAATATGATGATGACCTACTGGATGTAAACACTAAGCAGAGGACTCTCGTATCGGAAAGACAGCTGTACTATCCCAAGATCGTAGATTGTAGTTCCGATAAAGTCGCTTGGGATGGAGTCAACGGTCAGGCGTCAGTGCTGGCTGGACCAACAGAATCAATGGTCCTGCCAGGACAAACTGCGGAAACGGCGCCAAACGACTTGAACGACATCGAGCAACACGTTATGCAAGCAGCTACAGCAAACACGTTGCTCTTCGCTTCTGGCCACCCAATGCACGAGCAAAGAGAGAGATCTGCTCGCGTGAGACCACCTCTGTCGAACGGTCAACACAACAACTGAGCGTGCTGAAGTATGTGATTGGGGCGTGTGTGACGCAGGCAGGAAAGACTGAATCGCTGTGTATGAGCTTTTTGATCATCGATGGTCACACACCCGGCGTTCCAATCGATCGCCAATCACGACGTTCTTGGGATACAGACCTTTTTCATATGCACCAGAATGAACGATACGTGCTGTCAGGAAGAGCTGCACCTTCACTAGATCACATGTGCCTATTGATGCGAAAACAACACGCAACTAAGTGTGTGAACGACCACATCGTCAGCGCTTCTGAGCATACGTCGGTCTATCGTTGTAAACTCATGGGACGTTACTTTCTCTAGCATTCCCGCAGCGATATCATGGCAGCCAGCGGGCGTCCGCAAGCATGTTTGCCCCTCAGGCGGCATAGCCATACTGCATCCTGAACATGTGCCACCTCCCTGCATATCTAAACCGCTCCAAGACTTACTTGCGAGTAGCACTTTCAACACGGGCATTCAAAAATAATTTATCTTGTAAATGTTCTACGTGCATATGCTGGTGTAACAACGGCGAGGGCTCAAGCTTCGCCTGCCAAACTATGCAGTTGGACACTGCGGCGACCCGTAAACGCAGCATCAAGCATCTCGTCCTCATCCACGAGAAACGAGTTCGTCGTGTCGCTCACGTAGCTGAACTTGCCGAACGAGTCGTAGTCCATTTCCGATCTCGCTCGGCGGTTGCGATTCCGAGGAGTCTTCCATGGAAACAGGATGCTGAAGATATTGCCCGGCGATGCCGTCTTCGACGCTAAATACTTGTCAAAGTTGATGTCCGGGCTTTTCATGCGCTCTTCCTCCATCGACAAGGGCGCTGGGACCCACGGAGGCGTGATCTTCTTGCGCAACACCATGTCCCATCGAATGTCCTTGAAAAACGGGTGCGTGAGAATATCGCTCGTCTGGCAGGCACCCAGGCGTTTGTGCGGGTCCTTCTCCAGCAACCCGAGAATGAGGCTGCGGGCATCCGAATGGAGACTGCACTTGGACGGGAATTTCACAGACTCCTTCTCAATGAGCTTGTAAAGCACTGACACGTTCAGGTGATGGAACGGTCGTTTTGCTAGCAACATCTCATACAACAAGATGCCCAGGCACCACCAATCGACGGCCTTGCCATAGTCGCGCGAGCGCTTTGGCTTCAACAGCTCCGGGGCAGTGTAGGCCGGGGAACCCGCCATTGTGCGCGCGCCCGACAACTGGTTGACGTTCGTCTTCGACAGACCAAAGTCAACCAGCGCGACGTTGCCATCAACGTCAAGCATAATATTGTCCGGCTTGAGGTCGCGGTACACAATGTCGCACGCGTGCAAGTGCGACAGCGACAGCACAATCTGCGCAGCGTAGAACTTGACACGGTCCAGGTCCAGCGCAATCTTTACTCGGTGCTCTTTGTTGCTCGAGAAGCGATTCATGTGCGTATACAGACTGCCACCGGGGTAGTAGTCCATGCCCAAGAACACACGCGATTGACTCTGGAACGAAAAGCGCAGCGGCGCGATGAATGGATGATGCACGTCGCGCAAGATGCGCATCTCTGTCTTCGTACGCAGCTTATCGTAGTTCGACATCGAGCTCTTTTCCAGAATCTTCACAGCAAAGATCTCGCCCGTGTTTTTGCGCTCAGCCAGTACCACCGTCCCAAACGTTCCCTTGCCGAGCACGCGATTCACGTGGAAATGCTGGATCGACAACGACAAGACCCGCTTCGATGTCGACGCCTGGAACGCGCGCTCGGCCTTGGCAGCCTTCCGTTCCGTGTCCGACATCTGAAATGCAGCAATGTCCACTTCGATTTGCATCTGCAGACCCAGTACGCGGCCACCTGGGCTCAACTGGATCTCGTCGCGCGTGGTGAACGTAAACTCGCGCTGGAGCGACTTGTTCCAGATCGTGCCCGCTGCCAGCACGTGCAGCACGTTTGGCTGCTTCGTCGTCATGTACCGTGACACAACAAATCGCTTAAACAGCACAAACCGTGAGAACCCCAGCACCACGTCCACAAGTCCTTCGCGGCCGAAAAACTTGGTCGACGGGAGAAACTCGCACGGATACGTGACCGAGACAATCATCTCGGGCGAGCAGATGGGAAACAGCGAAAGGAGGTTCGCGGCCGAGTCGTCGCCGCCTGTTTGCTCCATAAACTGCGTCGTCCACATCGAGTAAAACTGCTTTACAGTCGCCAAGTTGCGCGCTTTCCAGTCACCCGACGACCGCACGGTTTGCGACGCGAGACTGCCCGTTGTCGAGCCGCACGGAAGTGGCCCACTGGCGGCTGGATTCCACTGACTCGTGCGGCCGCTTGGGCCGTCGGAGTCCCGGCCGTTCGACATGCCGCTAAAGCTCTGGCCGGGCTTGGGGCACTGGGCGTGCTGCACCGCCTGGAGCAGCATCTTGACCCAAATCTCGCACTCCATGCTCGAGCGCGTGTACATGGCAAAGACCTTGTTAATGGTCGTGGTAATGAGCACACCGTTCGAGCGGTTCGGGTCGCGCGTCGCGCCTGTGACCGTCACGCGGCCGCGAAACTTCTCCGTGTCGACTTTGGCCACGTCTTTGCTCACGTAGTAGCTGAACGTCGTGCCCGAGAGCACTGCGTAGCGGTAGCGCCACGAGCGCACGACATGGCCCTGTTTCCAAATGTACCCCTCCCAGTCCGTCTCAAACAGGTCTTCGAACGCGCTGCTCAGGTCCGGCGACACGCTCAGTCGCGTGCGCGTTGTGGGCGCAGCGCTGCCGGCGCCACTGCGCTCCGTGGCCGACGACGTGCTCACGGAGCCGTCGCCGGCATAGTCGTCGCCCCCCTCGTGGCCGTAGACGGTCGTGCTGGGCCGCAGGCTGTACGACTGCACGCGCTTGTCGTAGCGCATGGACGGGCCGCGACTCGAGCCCAGGAGGAGCACACTCGAGCGCTCGCGGAGGACCATCGCGTCTGCGTCTTCGGCCGACAGGAGAGTGATGCGCTGGCGATGATGCATTCGCCTCGGGCAGTCCAGGGGGCAGTCGATCTGGGGGCGCGTGCGTGGGGCCCCTACTACCAAACAAACGATCGCGCGGACGGCAGCACGAAAAACCTCGGCGACGTGGTGCGGCACGGGGGCGGAGGGGGAGGAAAAGAAAACGAGGTTTTTTCTCTTCTTGTTGTTGTGGTCCGCGCGAGTGGCTGGGGCCAAAGAGGACGTGGAGCTGCTGCCAAACGCTCGAGTCGCCAAATGAACGGGTGGGAATCCCGAGGCTCCGCTGCGTCCCCGACCCCCGGACCCCTACCCCCTCTCTCGAAACGTAGGGGGTAGCACCGGGTCCACGCGTGTCGCGTCGCGCCTCAATCTTTGCGACACGAAGAGCTGACGTACAGTATAAGATGCTGAAGACGGAGAACAAACCGCAGAAGAGGCGGGGAAGGGGGGGGAAAAGAGCCGAAACCGACGCGTTGTGGGCGAGTTGATTTCAGCGCTTTCTCTGCAAAACACGCGCGGCGCCTCGCGTCTCCCCCCCGCACCAGCAGGTGTGGCTCTGTCTATCTGTCTACCTATCTGGCTATCTATCTATGTGTAGATGTATATATGTAGACGTTTCTCTCTCTCTCTGTGCTGTGCTGTGCTGTGCGTGTGGTAACACTCGGAAAGTTTGGATTGCACGACGTGCTGAGGACTCGACGGGTCGACCGTAGAGCCTTTGCGCGCGACCGCCCGAGTCAGTCAGTCAGCCGCTACTGCTGAGATGCCAGCGGCTGACGTGGGCGGCAGACGTTTGAAGTAAGAACAAAACAACGAGATCCACGGGCTATGCACGTTGCAGTGCGGTCGTCGGGCAAAAGATGCCGCGACCAAAGACGAGGCAGCGCGATCGGGCGCTCGCTACACCGCACGTCGTCGACGGCGTCAGGCGTCAATCGGCACACACTCGTGACGGTTGTCTTTGCCGGGTCTATGGAGAGGAAGGATGATGATGCTGCTGCTGATCATGCGCTGGTCGTCGTCGTGGACCGGCCGGCAAGACACAGGCTGCTCTCGGACCTCTCCCCCACCCGTCTGTTGTTACCCTCTGGGCATCTGGACACGACGGCTGGGGATTTGGTCGAACCTTTGCGAACGACGAGGTAGGGGACGGCGGTGGTGGATCGTCCTCCCGCTGTCGCGAGCGGGTGAAAAAGGGTAGCAAGGCGGCGGTCAGACTCGACGTCCCAGTCAAGTCCCGGCCAGACGCCCCTACCAATCATGCGGTCGATAGTGCTGGCCTCAAAAAATAAGGCGCTCGCCGCATCGCAATTTGCAAGCAGACCGTACAGATCGATCGTTAGCGAGCAAGCGGTTGTGAGGGCAGTAGCACTGTAGTACCTCGTGAACACGTAGCGCTCGGTGCACAAGTACCCCCCCCCCCATACCCCATACCCCCTCTATCCGGTCGGTGCACGCTCTCTTGCCCCACTTGTGCTAACATCGATCACATATCGTTTGTCGTGCTGTTTTTTTCTATAGCGTGGCGCAATAGCATACAAATGTGTGCGGAACGAGGTCGAACGTTCAGTCACAGCCGCTCACGATGGCCGAGAGTCGCCGACCTGTGGCCATTTTTCACGGCCAGACGTGTCGCAAGCGCTGCTGTGCTCTTTGCTTGCCGACTCTGGACAGAGCAACACAACGTGCAGCAGCAAATCATAGCACGGACGTCATTGTATTTCGTGCATGGGGCAGCTCCCGTCCAGTCCATCCGCTTTCGGGTGTCCCAACGAGACTGACGTCGACACCAACGACGAAAAGGCGCTGGCTGACTCTATGCAGACACAGTAAACATTCTCGCACCGCGCCAGCCGTTCCACGGACTTGTTGGCCGTCGACACACAGTCACTTCACCGCCCTACGTCGGCAGTCCTTCGAGGCGAGTGCGGACAGTCGTTCCGCTATTGACCGGAGCTTCGATCGACGCTTTTGTCGTAGCAAGTGCGTCCTCGTAGCGGCCTTCGACGCTCCGTTTGCATTGGCGTCCATGCGTCGTATAGGACCTGTATCGTCCACTTCATCTCGGCTGCTCTGCCGTGTTCATCCGCCTGCCAACCTGCTGGAAAAAAAATGGCAGCTGGCAGTACGATTGGGATTTGTCGCGCCTCTTTCGAGCAGTTGTTCGCCCCGGCAAGCGACCGACAGGTGTCGTCGACGCGGTGGTGACCTCGCACCGGTCGCGTCGTTGTGGTTGATCATGGTCATTGTCGCTGGCAACCGCTCGTTTCGCGACGGCGCGGCTTCCACGTCGACGTGTGCACGAACAGTGTCGGCTTTCACGCGCGCGTGAGTCACTCTGGACGATCCAGCAGCGGCGGTAGAAATAGACGCTACGCGCGGGCATCTGTCAATGGTGTATGTATCGCCATTGCTCGTGCTGAACTCTCGGTCATGTCCCAGACGAGCGGCTCCGCGAGCGATAGACGGAACCTGAATTTTCCTTGACGCCCGGGTAGAGTCACAGTGCTCATTGATGTTCTTTGCCGATCCGACAGGCCGCTCTTCCCGCTGTCGTCTCTGAGCGCCGTCACCTCTTTCGTACACGCAATTGCCGTCGCCCTTCCACTCGTCGTTCAGACGCACGACAATGGGGTTTCATGGAGGTGACGTCGACTCCGGGAACCATGTGCTCCGCTTCTGTCCAACGGATTCGGGCAACGAACTACCGAGAGCTCGGCCATGACTGCATCCGTGCAATGTTTGCCCGATCTGAAGGGTCACGGCAATGAACGCGAACGAGCCGAAGAACGGGATATCGAGTCGCACGAGCGACTCGGAGTTTGGTCTTTCGTAGCTGCTGGTGGGGTAGAAAAGGAGGGAGCAGGAGACACGTTGGACACCTTCAACGACTAGCCATACCACCCCATGGCTCGCAGGATGACATGAATGGCCGGCTTGTAGCTGATCGGCGCAGTTGCATGCTTACTACCGTGGGCGACGAGGTGCCCAACGTATCTAACAAAGAGTGGCTTTCGCATACGACGCAGCTGGTTGATGCAGCGTGAAAGACATCTCCGGATCATGAGATACATTGGGTCGCTTGCCTATGGTTGGGTCCATCGAAGATGGGACCGTATAATACGCAAAACATTCGAAGGTGCGTGCGAGCTACAGAGCAGCATACGTGAACAGCAGAGGTACTCGTAGGAAGGGACTCGAGTCTGCTACTGCTTGACGCTCTTTGCCCGTGATTGACATTGCTGACAGTTTGTGACTAGACTAGCTATCTAGGGGGGCGCCGTACATTGCGACTGCGGTGCACCAGTGCTGTTGACGTCGGCAATGTGCGCCAGCCATGATCCATGAATCACAGCGAAAGCGCTGTGCAATATCGGGTAATCTTTGCGTCAGCAGCGCCGTCATCAAAGTATCTGTCAGTGCCCTCTGGCAAAACGTACCATCCAATTGACAGTATGCTGTCGGGTTGATGCGCACGTAGTACACGTACTGACGCCATCATGTATACAGGCTGCAGATGCAGTACCTGTGGCAATGGGGTATACCCGCCCGTGCAACGTCCAGCGCGTTAACCACAGCACGTTAACTACAGCGCGTTAACGGCTACATCATCCGATGCTATCCTGTGAGAACTACCCGTTACGCCCGGTCCCGTTTCGGTTTTGCCGTGAAGCACGTGTTGTTTGCGCACTGGCTGGTGTGTATACATCTAGTTGCTGCTTCCTCGGCTAAGCTCGACCGCATTGCATGTACGATCGGCTGAAGCTCTGTTGCGTCTCATGGTCGTGGCCAGCAGTTCGTCCAAGTAACTGCCACAGTAATGCGTCACCAACTGATCATACGGTAGAACATGCACCATACATACACACAGCACGAGTCCGGACTGACAACTGCAACGCATGACGGCGCCATTGAAACGAGCGACTTGACGTGTCGACGCTGTCGCATCTGATTCCACGCTCGACGCACAACCGCAACGACTGTCACTCATTTGAAACGTCGCCGCATTCAGGCGGTCCTTCTTTTCTCTCTCTCTCTATTTCTGCCTCTCTGTCTCTCTCCTTTATCCTGTATATACCGCTTACGCCTCTCGTGTCGGCCCACCGCGCTTTCAGGTGATCATGTCGCTCGGGTTCCTGACCGAGTCAGCGCTCGTGCCGTCCAAAGCAAAGGCGATCAAAGTCGACGCCAAGTCGCTCGTGGACCTCAAGGCAGTGGTGTTCCAGAAGGAGCAGGAGCGGAAGCGCCGCTTGCACGAGGCGGCCACAGCAGCAGCAACAACTACCGACAACGACAGCAGAGACGGCCGTAACAACGAGACGGGTTACGCAGCTCTTCGGCGTGGGAAATATTCGCACTTACGCGGGAACAACAAGCGTTGGAAGCCGTGCAAAGAGGACCAAGTGGGCAGGAAGTCGCAGAACGCGGGGGTCGAGGCCCGCAGTCGGCGGGACGAAGAGGTGAGGGCGCGCGACGCGACTCCTGACGAAGACGACGATGCCGCGTGGTGCAAACTGTCGGCCGAGAGGCTGCGCGAGAAGGCGAAACTGTACGAGGAGATGATGCGCGGAGGACGTCGAGAGGATGAGCGGACAGCAGAGTGTCTCGTGGACTTTGAGGCGAAACAGGCGATGGCGGCCATGACGCGGACGACGGAAGCAACGACAGGGGTGGTGGAGATCACGGACGCGTTTGGACGCACGAGGAGTGTAGCGCTTGACAGCGACGAGTACGCAGCGTTTCAGGAGACCCAGCAGCAGCAGCAGCAGCAGGAGGATGAAAGAGAGGGACGTGGGGAGAGTGAGCTCGTCAAGGGCAAGCGGTGTGATGACGGAGAAGGCAGGAGCGAAGACGGTAGTCGAGTGGATGGTGGCAGTTTTGTCGTTTCGCAATGGGAAAAGCGTCTGAATCGCTCGGAGAAGGACCATCTGATGGAGGTGCATGAGCGCGCGACGTCAGCGCGGTTGTTGGCGCGTACTGCTTTGTCAGGAAGTGCACGACAAGACAGGAAGACGAGAAAGCAATTGCGCTTGGAGCGTCTTCGCAAACAGCGAGTGGAGGCAGCAACGTCGGGTGAAAAGGGTACTGCAGAACTGAACGATGAGGTCGATCGTGCAGCGTCCGAGAGAGCCAGCGACTTTTTGAACCAGCTCTCGTCGTTCATGTAGCGGTCAATACACGGCGTTGGCTCGGAGTGTACTGTTCCACTTGCGGTCAGAAGCTCACCACGATTCGACACACGTGATCTGGATGGCAGCGCTGCTGTTGCCGGTGACAACTGGCTCAATATCGTTGACAGGGTGCGGTTGGCTACGAACGTACGTATCAGCGCTGCAATGTGGCACACAAGATACCTGTAATCTAGACGGGTCAGCTTCGCAAAGCATTGGCAACGTCGACACTGCCATCGTATCGTTGCTACAAGAAATCCTGATGCAGTGTTTGTTGCTTCACGTGCTGGTGGAAGGTGGTCAGAGCATGTCGGTCATTGGCAGGAGCTGTACTTTGGATTGCCTACTTGCAAGTAATACTGGATTTGTGGAGGTCACACTACTTTGTTGTTTTTACCATAGTGCGTCCGAGTAGCTCCCATCAATCCTGGCATATTTTGGAGCTGCACGTACCCATGTTGGCATCCCGCTGACTTGTTCATGCGATGAGAACTTACCAATGATATACGCATGTCCTAAGTAGCATGCGGACAGGGGGGGAAATAAGTTTCATTACACTGTTATCCATCAAAAAGCCTTGCTACCGTACTTCGTTTGTCAAAGGTAGAGAGGTAAATCAGGAGTGATACTCAGAAAGTAGCCCAAAGGAAAAAGTGAGAGTAAAAAAAGAGTGAGTAGCTATAGAATCAGAGGAAGGGCAACCAAGGAAGGGGCGAAAAGAAGCACGACAACCCAACGAGCGGGAACGGTGAATGGAGGTGAAGAGTGCCCGGGGTTATGGGAAGACAACCCGGAAAGGCAGACCAACTTCAGTGCCGTTGCACCACGTGTAACGGGGCAGCCCGTTACATGGAATTGTCACTTTAAGGAAAGTGACAATAAAGAATATGAAGTTGGATATTCTTTAAACAATATCACCAAAGTGGTGATATTGAAGGGTCGACCAAAGAGTCTGTTCATTGGTTGATATCTTGATGATATCAACCCACCAATTGCCGCAAGACGCGCGCAATGAGTGGTGACGAGACGTCACCATACACTCAGTTATATTAGTATAATTAAGTTAAGTCAAACAGAGAGATAGTAGTTAAAAGACTTAATTATATTAATATAACAGTTCTGCTTTTACCCTACCTACGCTTCCTCGCTTGCCACGTGTACGTCTGTCGGGGCACCGAAACCCTTGCGTTAAGTTCACGCAAGGGTGTGCCCCGTTACACCTGGTAGCACTTTGTAGTCCTTCCAAGGACCACAACATCCAACATGAACATGTTGGATGAAGAAGAAACCTTTCACGCCACGCGTAAAGGGTTTACCCATTTGAGTGAAATCGAATGGGGTGCGGTAGAACGAATGAGTTCTACCGTAGGCGAACTCGTCGCTAGCGCCATGTTGGAGTCTCTAGACAGAGACCAACAACATGCCGCTATCGCCAAGTTCATTCAAAATGAACTTGCCATCGAGAGGGAGAAAGTAGCCTTGCTTCACCAGCAAGTCTCTCAACAGGCCGAGCAGTTGAGAGAACTCGGTGCTCAACAGACGGAGCTGTTGAGACGGCAGCAATTCCATGCTGCTGTGGGCGGGACGGCGCATGCGCGTCGTCCCGAGGTCATGAAGGTTGACATCTCCAAGTACAGTGGAGTCCCGGAAGACTCCCTGTTACTGTGGTTTGTCGAACTCGACAGAGCTTTAAGGGCTCGTCGCGTCGAGGATGAGCAAATAAAACTCACATTTGCTCAGACCCACTTGGCAGGGCGTGCCAAAACTTGGTCCCTGGGACTCGAGAGTAGCGACTTAAATGTGTTTAGGTCGCTAGATGACTTCAAGTTCCGGCTCAGACAAACGTTTGAGCCGCCACGGGCTGAGTTCAGGGCTCGTTGAGAGCTCCTGAAACTCAAGCAGGGTAAGCGTGATGTGCACGCTTACGCACAACATATACGACTCCTTGCGAGTAGTGTAACTGCTAACCCAGTACATGAACACACGTTGAATACGGTGTTCATGCAAGGGCTCGCAGAGGGGCCCGTCAGGAGCCACCTGCTCCGCCTTGAGCTGAATACTCTTATCGTCCACCGAGACGACAAGAGATCGGAGGTCCAGAACCAATGGACCTCTGATATGTTGAGAGCGAGAGACCTCGCTCTTCGAACAACAAGCGATTGCAGAAGTGCAATCGCTGTCAGAAGTTAGGGCACTACGCATACGAGTGTAGTGCTCCACGCCCAGTACCAAACAGTACTGAGCGAAATGGACGACCATTTGCCAGAAAGGGCAATGGGCGTGGGTCCAGCGCTGTTGCGAAGCCGCAACAGCGAGACGGACCATCAAAAAATGGTCGGGGTCAGTAGGGGCGGAGCGCCCTACTGATCCAGCAACCTCAAGAGAATTTGCAAATCTCTTGACGAAAGTTGCTCCAAATACACAATCATTGTGTGTCTCTGCACCTGGTGATGACGTTTCGCTCATCACCTTGAAGTTGAAAGCGACAAATGATTTGTCGCTTCGTGCCCTAGTAGACTGTGGGGCGTCGAACAACTTTGTTCGTCGCCAGTCACTAGAGGGTCGTAGGCTTAAGTTTGTTGAGCGCGACATTCCCCTCACGAGGATGACGGTGCGCCTTGCAACAGGCGCATCGATAACCGTTGAGAAACGTGTAGTAGGAATCCACTACACGTTAGAGGGCGAAAAGTACGATGATGACTTCATCGTACTGGATTGGATGACAAATTTGATGTCATCCTGGGATTACCTTGGCTCACAAAGTACGAGCCAAGGGTGAGATGGCAGCATCGATCCGTGAAGATGCCTGCCGCTTGTTCATCAGATGGCCATCTGATGAACATCTTGGAGCGTCCACAAGCGTGTGGATGTTCTGCGAGTGAGTGCGATGGCCTCACTTGCGGTACGGTCGTTAGCACGACTGCACAAGATCACAGTGTAGTTGATCACTACACTGTGGAGCAAGCTCTCGGCGGCTGTACAGAGGTACATGCTGCGCCGAAGGTCCACCACTCGAATAAGTCGAGTGGACCGGGACATGGATGCATGCCTAGCGGGCAGCATCTTAGACAGAAGAAACCTGTTGCCCCCAAGGGGCAACATGGAAATCCTAGGTCGACTGGAGAGTCGACCGTAGAGGATCGGTGCCTGACTGTGGTTGCACAGCCACAGTCGGAAGACGTCGAGGGAATAAGTCCCCACGTACTTGAGGAAGGAATTCCTCAAGAGTCACTTGCTGAGGGATCAGGCCTTCAGGAACCTGTGGAACGAAGTTCTCAAGAAGAAAATGAGACGTTGAACGTCTTGGTTAATGACGGATCAATCGTAGGCACTTATACGCTTGATCTGATTGTGCCTTCGAAGTTAACTTCGGAGATAACTCAATTGCCAACGCTAGAACCGAAACGGTTCTTGAGTGATCTGCGCAGTGGCAAAGTCAAGCAGATCTGCATACTCGTTGCAGAGGATGTGTATGTGACCGACATTCGGTCGGCAACAGTATTTGCCGAGAACGAACGGGTTCTCAGCAGCTCATCGATGGACGAAAGTGTCCTCGAGGAGAAGACTCGGATTGAGCGATACACGTCTCAATCCTGGGAGTCACTTCAGGCAAATCCTTTGTATAAGGATTTGATCGAATTTAAGGATGTATTCCCTGAATCCGTACCTTGCGAGTTGCCTAAGGACAAAGGCACTCGACACGAGATCGAGCTCAAACCGGGCTCGAAGTACTGTGTCATGAAGCAGTGGACACTGCCTCGTGAACAAGTACTAGCGATCGACAAGTTCTTTGCCGATCGCTTAGTAGCGGGCTATGTGAGGGAATCAACATCCCCTCACATATCTCCGACCTTCTGTGTGCGAAAGGCCACAGGAGGGTGGCGGATAGTGCACGCATTCAACAAGTTGAATGCTGCAACGGTACCGGCTCAGACGCCGATACCGAGGAAGGACGTCATAATAGATGGTATGTCAAAGAGTACCATCTTTTCTTCCATGAATCTGATGGATGGATTCTATCAGATCCTCATGCGTGAGCGGGACATCCCGTTCACGGCAGTGAGTACCCCCAGCGGGATGCTGTGGGAGTGTCTAGTGATGCCACAGGAGCTGAGTAATGCCCCTGCAACATTCAACAGATGTGTCACAAATCTGTTGAGACCGGTGCGAGACTTCGCACCGAGTTACTTCGACGATGTGTTTGTCCATAGACGGGCTATGGACGGAAAGACGGACGTTGAAGTTCACAGAACTCACGTTCGTCAGGTTCTTCAACTTATGCGCAAGTATAAGTTGTACGCCAACCCTAAGAAGTGTATATTCGCGGCTAGCGAAATACCACTTCTTGGGTGCATCGTGGGTAAACACGGCGTACGCCCTGATCCCGAAAAGATCAAGGCGATCACCGACTGGCCAGTGCCAGTCGATGTCAAGGGACTAAGGAAGTTCCTTGGCCTAGCGGCGTACTTGCACAAGTACTCGCGCAACTACGCCGAGATGACGGTACATCTTTCTTGCTTGCGCAAGAAAAATGTCAAGTGGTCATGGAACGCTGAGTGCCAGCGTTCCTTTGAAGGTATCAAGCAAAGCTTGATGAAATCGCCGATCTTGGCGATTGCAGATCAGGACAGACCATTTCATGTGGTCTGTGACGCCAGCGATTTTGCAATCGGCTGTGCGTTAATGCACTTCGACGCAGATGGCGCGGAGCGCGTCATCTGTTATCAGTCGCGTCAGCTGCAAGCAGCTGAGCGTAATTACCCAGTGCATGACAAGGAACTCCTTGCCATGAAATACGCACTAGCTAAGTTCCGGGTCTATCTCCTCGTAGATAGACCGTTCATCGTGTATACCGACCATGCGTCAATACGCACGGCCGTAAAAATCCCGCACCTCTCGCAAAGGATGGTGAGGTGGCTGTCTTTCTTCGGGGAGTAAACTTCTCCGTGGAGTATAAACCAGCACGATTAAACGTCGTCGCTGATGCGCTCTCGCGCCAGCCCGATTTCGAGCCGAACGCACAATTCAACAGTGATGATAAGCCCACTGTTGCGAAACTGACAGCCAGTGTCCCGTCGTCAAGTTTACTTGACGACGTACTAAAGGCATACGCAGAAGATAAGGATCTTCTGCGATTAATGGATCATCTGTTGAATCCATCCAGTAAATCACTGAAGAATTTACCGGCTTTGTACCGATCCGATGAGGATCGGTAAACAACGCGTAACGGAATTGATTATTATACAGCCGCTAGTGGCGACACGCCTCGTGTCGTCGCACCCGCTCATCGTGATATGCGATTATGCATCATGTATGAGTGTCACGATGCCCCAACAGGTGCCAATCGTGGGAGAGAAAAGACTTACCTCACAGTAAGTCGTGACTTTTACTGGCCCCGCCAGTATCAGTTTGTACGCAAGTACATACGTTCTTGCGAGGTTTGCCAACGAGGTAAGCCTAGTCCTTCATCCCGTGCACCATTACAGCCTCTACCGGTACCGGCAGAGTGCTGGCAGTCCGTTTCAATGGACTTCGTCTTCGGTTTTCCCGAAGACGCTCACAAGAATAATGGCATTCTTGTGTTCGTTGACCGGTTCAGCAAGATGGTGCATCTTGCTGAAGTGCCCGAGTCCATCACGGCACCCGGCTGTGCTCGTATCTTTCTTGACACGGTCTTTAGACTCCACGGGTTACCCCGTGAACTCGTATCCGACCGTGACCCTCGGTTCACGGCGGCATTCTGGCAAACCGTGTTCCGTACTCTCGGAACACGATTGAAGATGTCCACTTCTGACCATCCAGAAACAGATGGTCAGACGGAACGCGCGAACCGTGTCCTCGAAGAGATCCTTCGAGGATATGTCCACTCGTTTTCGAGTTGGAGCGAATTTCTACCCATGGTGGAATTCGCCATCAATAATTCGGTGCATGCTTCAACACAGCACACACCGTTTTACGTGAATGGCCTACGCCATCCACGTGTGCTTACCCTTATAGAGTGTGACTCTTGGATAAGGGGGGAGGGACTCGCTCGAGCAAAAACCGTTTTGGCTCTTGCTCATCACGTGTCGACGCTAACGTCGTCACGTATGATGCCGATGTCGATCAGGTCGACATCGATGAAGAAGATCGCCTCAATAATAGCGATGACGCTATTATTGACTCGGATGATGATGACGATGCTGGTGTATTCAGCATCGTCAACGATTATGTCAGCGAGGAAGAAGACAACCTCGCTGAAGAAGAGAGCAATCTCTTAGCAGTGCGCACGAAGCGCACTACCAGACAAAACAAAGAGTCAGCAGAGAACTTCCTGCTGACTCGAGAAGCGGTAGTACGTTTCGTTCAGGACTCCATCGCAAATGCTGTGGACCGTCAGAAACGGAACGCAGACAAGAATGGAAGAGCAAATGTTCTTTCATTTAAGGTTAATGACCTAGTACTACTGTCTAAGGTAAACTTACCTGGACATGCAGTCACTAGTGTCGGCAGTAGTAAACTACTGCCGAAATACATTGGGCCATTTCGAGTGTTGCATCGCAAGGGCAATGCATAAACACTCGAATTGCCACGTAGGATGCGCACGCATCCTACGTTTTACGTGGGGAGGCTTAGGTCGTACTGTCAGTACGAGCCTTCTTCTTCCGATGAAGATAGCCCCCACGTTCAAGAACATCCATCAAGTTCTTGCGTTCGCGCTCCAGACGATCCGTCTGGTCGCGCAGATATGATACCTCGGAACTCAACCGAGATATCTCCCCGCGAGCTGTCGCCAGCTCGCCGAAAAGGGAGCGGACATCGCGCTCGACCTGAAGCTGCGCTGTGGCATCATCGGCGCGATCTCTCGCCCGATCAGCCTCGTGATCCTTGCGGTTCTTCCGCACGGTATCGGTCAAAGCGTAGCGCCGGTCGCGCTCGTGCTTCAAGTCATCGCGCAATTCATCGATTTCGCGATCCATCTCGTAAGGGTCGAGATGGTGAACCGAATCATCTGGAGGAGGTCTTTCCTCCTCCACCACATCCTTTGGTGGATGCTCACGGTGATCAACGCTTTCTAGTGGAGCGTATCTTGAATCACCGTGACGATTCAGGAACAAGGACGAGCTACCTCGTCCAGTGGCGGGGGTATCCACCCTCTTGGAACAGCTGGGAGCCCCGCTCTCAGCTGTTGATGGATGTTGAAGGTCTCGTCCGCCAGTATGAAGAGACCCATCCGATGAGTCCTGTGGCCCATCGGTAAACACGAGCCCTAGGCGCTTGTAGACGGATTGCAAGTTTGAAATCGCGTCACGCATCTCAGCCGAGATGTGTGCCCTTCCCCAGGGCGAATTTAGGTAAAACACATCCCTATGTGCACGCTGCGAGTTGTTAACACAACTCGCACAAGGGTCTCCCCATGTGAGGCAAGGAATGCCTGCCTCACTCGATAAACAGTGCAACCGGTACCTAGCACCGGTTGGCGTGTCGCCTCAAGTTTCTTGAGCCACCCTTCTCGTCCAAAATTCTTTACGTTCTGGACGAACGCGTTCCACGCAGCCAAAAGCGATGCTTTGTCACGCTTTTGGTTGCTGTTGTACCATCAATGTCTAAGAAAAACATCGAGATAAAAATCTTCTTCAGCGCGAAAGTTCTTCGCGCTGGAACTCAAGCCGTGAAGATCAGTCGCATCGAATAAGGGTATTCGATGGTGTTGGCTTGTCTCGTGAGACAAGCTATTGATGATCCGTTCGGGCAAACGCCACGGCTTCAGCTCATCACGCTTCACAGTGGTACCCTTGTCGGTACCACAGTTGTCAGTATGACGATGGGTTGCACCATCGTCAAGTCGCTCGTGCGAAGGAGCACGAGCTGATTGCGGTGATGAGCAAACATACTCATCACCCGATTCGTCATCACTGCCGAACAGACTGTGTTGCAACTCACGATCCCGTTCGTTCGGCAGTGGCCTTGGCGAACACTGAGGCGTCGCCGGTGAGCGAGACGCCTCTGGCGCATTGCCCGAGTCAGACACGTCTGACTCGCCAGAGTAGATGACCTCTACGTCGAGGTCATCATGCGCACGCGGTGAGGTGCCGCGTGCACCTGCAGCACCTGTTGCTACAGGCGAAGAAGGAGCAGCAGACGACGAATCGTCTGCCGCAGAGGCTGGCACAGCACCGGGCTGTGTAGGTCTTGAGTCACCTCGCATAGACATGTTAACTATGCGAGGTCAAGCGGAAAGTGAATGGAACGGACCCAACAAGTGCTCCCTGTCCCAATGGTGGTCAACGGGTGGCCGCCATATTTTCGATAGTCACACGGTGACTATCAGTTAAGGGGGGGGGTGATGTAACTGGGCAGCCCGTTACATGAAATTGTCACTTTAAGGAAAGTGACAATAAAGAATATGAAGTTGGATATTCTTTAAACAATATCACCAAAGTGGTGATATTGAAGGGTCGACCAAAGTGTCTGTTCATTGGTTGATATCTTGATGATATCAACCCACCAATTGCCGCAAGACGCGCGCAATGAGTGGTGACGAGACGTCACCATACACTCAGTTATATTAACATAATTAAGTTAAGTCAAACAGAGAGATAGTAGTTAAAAGACTTAATTATATTAATATAACAGTTCTGCTTTTACCCTACCTACGCTTCCTCGCTTGCCACGTGTACGTCTGTCGGGGCACCGAAACCCTTGCGTTAAGTTCACGCAAGGGTGTGCCCCGTTACAGGCCGCGCATGCTGGTATTCGCGGGAAGGCGAGCAGTATATACCAGATCAATATTCGTTAAATGAAGAGCAGGTAGAGTCCAAATCGTCCGCCGAGTCCACAGGGATAGGTGATTTGTGGAGAACCTGAGGGTGTCGAAAAAAAATCGTGAGCAACGCTCAGTAGCTTGAATGTCGGAGGCGAATTTGCGCCGAGAAGCTAACTGCTCGGACTCCTCTAATTTTACGGATAGAATCGCCTTCGCAGAAGCAATAGCGGAAGAAGGGTCCACCGAAGGTTCCAAAGCCTGCCGATGGCGAAGTCGTTTGACGGGTAGGTGGAGATCTTCGATAGCACGGAGACGTGCATTTTTTAAACGAGAAACAACCCGCGAAGAAAGATGAAGTCTTGCCGTTTATGCTCATCGAGCAAGCATCCGGGATTCGGGCGCCTCAACATTGGATTAAATGACGCAGCAAGTCGGAGTAAGGAAGTACGTAAATAGTCCTGAGCCTTAGGCAAGTGGATGACCCATGAAGTGCATTTCCAAGGAGCACGGCCCGGAGGCCGAAAGGTATTGGAGCCGAGACGAAACGATAAACCAATGTGATCCCCCGTTCCAGATTGAGCCGTTAAATCGTGGGAAACCGTATTAAAAACGGAGCGAAAAAGTCCATAATTCACAAAAAGATAGTCTAAGCGAGAAGCACGGGTCGGACCGGTGAACTCTTGAACGTCGAGATGCTGAAGGCGCCACGGGTCGACCAATCGTAATGCCTACATCCAGCTAAGTAACTCGTCCCAGCCTTGAAGGCGAGCCCGATTGATTGAACGGGCCTGGTCCAATTGAGTGGAAATAACCGTATTAAAGTCTTCCATAACAATGTGGTGGGCGTCATCCTCGAAGTGACGAGGAAGGGCCGAAAGAAATTGCGGGCGGTGCTCCGGGGAGGCAGGGGCATATATGACATGAATGTAGGTACGAATCGAGTCCAGCGTTCCCGCAACCAGTACATAGCGGGAGAGAAGCAGAGCAGAACTGACGTAGCGGGAAGTAACATCGTGGAGAGCACGAATTGGACAGGTTGGGGTTATAAGCAAGCCTACACCCGCCAGCCCAGTGAAGGAGGTCATGTTGTCTTGGGACCAAAAACTGAATTGAGCCGAGAAGCTGTTTGCAAGAGGTATTTGAACTTATCAAACCTCCTAAGTCCAGTAAAAGGGTCTCTTATAGGCCAACCAGGTGGAAATTGTTGGAAAATAGTTTAAGGTCGAAAGCGTGATGGCATTGCAAGCATGCGGACAGGACTGAGATGTCTGGCATCTTTGTTCGTCGGGTTAAGCTGTCACATCCTGGATAAGCAAGCGCGATTGCACGGCAGACTCGATGATCAAAATCGGACCGGCGGCGCGTATGTAACAAACGGGTGACCCATATCGCAAATCGGGTGCAATACCTCTGTTTGCTATGGCAGCAACATACCGAGTCTTTAGATGTACGGCCCTTTGTAGTCATACATCGAGCCGGTATCAGAGAGAGAAGTGGACCACAAGTGTGTCATCCTATCCTGAAAGAATCACCACACGTCTCATCCTATCCGGAAGGACACTCATCTATCTCATCCTACCCTGAAAAGACAAAAAGCCGAGTTTATCGACAAAGTGCAGGCTGTGTTGTCGATGCAAATATGGATGTCAGCAACGACGAATTGCGGCGTGCGAAGCTACTTAGATCTGTGGTCGTGCTAACACCGTCGATTACCCTTTATACTGGTGGTAGCTGTAGACGAATCACCATTAATTTACTAGAGTCGGCACTTGACGCAACAACTCATCAATCGTGCGGGGTGAGACGAAAGCTACACAATGTGGATGGAACGTATTCGCCATCAGCCGACCTTTTCGAGTGCATTTGTGCAAGAGGTGATGGCAAACTCGAAGGTCAGGGAAGCTGTATGGTGCACGTGGGTCGAAATGTCCCGACGTTTTGGTATGACTTTGACAGGTTTAGTAAGAGACGTGAAACAGCTCGCAATTTATTGCAGCCCTGAAAACCTGATCAGCCCAACTTTGTTGGGTATCGTAATGGCATACAGCGGGCAGTGGGCGGCGCACGACCCATTTTCTGCAAACAGGGGTCGCTCGATCACAACTTCTGGCGTTGCATGATGACACGACCGATATAGTGGCAATCAGCTGTCGATCATCGTTGAGACAGCACGAACGCGAAAATTGCAGAACGACATGTGGCTTTCTAGCTCTCTTTTTGCAGCGAATCTTGCAGTCAGCTGACCTATACGGTCTTGTTGCGTGTCGAGACCAGGCTACAGCTATGCAGCATATCAAGTGAGTACCATCGAAAGGTCAACTGGAACCCAGGACCTAGTTACGATAGATCCCATGAAAGGACCGATGGGATGTTATAGTGTGATGATGAAACATGTGGCGAGGCGTCTTGCAACTGAGTCCATATCTTCACGTACACGCCCACATGACAAAGCCTTTTGAGTACGTCTTGGCTTAGAGCGGAGGTGTGTCGTACAATGTTGAGGCCATTTGCATGACAAGAGCACTGCAACAGCGCCAATGCCAGAATCTCCCAGAGATTGCGAGTTTCTTTCTTTCTAGCTGTGATCTTTCGCAATAACAGTGAGGCCTTTGCTCCATCTTTGGCAGAATAGCCTTTTAAATGTGTGCGCTCGCTAGGTTTAATCGAAAGCGCAAGACGATCAATCAATCTGTCATTACGTTGATGCATCTTGTGATTCCGTGTTTGCACAGTTGCTTCAAGGTAAACCAAGGCTACTGTGCTATTGATGGAGGTAATGCTGTGCATTGTGCGTCAGAAGCTTATCGATAACTGCACCAACTTGTGCATGACTGTTTCTTGCATGAGTAGCGTATACTTGTACCAGATTGTAAACGGCGGACGTTGAAACAGCTCAAAAGCAGTGGCGGGGTACAGATATACTCTCTGCGGCTGCAGCGGGCATCCAAAAGACAATCCTTGTGTCGTGTGCACCATCAAAGTCTCGCGGTGCGCTCATGAACACTACTTCGCAGATGCAAAGTGATGCAGCGCGCGAAGTCCCATGGTATATTAGTCGAGCAACGGATCGCCGTTCCGCACAGACATCTACAGCAGTGGCAACTGACTCGTTCATTCTACTTCTTTGCAGGTCCATCATAACGTCTGCCAAATGCAGCAAGTGGATGGTCGCCTCTTAGACTGCAAAGGTTTGCGGATAGCGAAGCGCGACGTGAGAAGCGAGGAGATGCTCCTGGAGCAATTTCACAGCTCCCCGAGCAGCGCAGTCACGTCTTCTACTGTCAGATCGCGATCGTCTTTTTTCAAAATAGCGCGCACAGCATCCGAAGCATCTTTGTTCGGCACTGACAGCGTCTTGTCGACAAAGCTCGGCAGTCGATCCTGATTGGCATCCACCCACCGCAAATATGTGAGTGACTGCTCCGGCGTCAAAATAGAGTGCAGCATCTCTGTTTGTCGCTGAACCGCCTCCGAGCGCTGCTCGAGACTTTTCTTCAGCTTGCATAAATAGGTCTGTCGAGTCAACCAAACATTACACGGTAAAGCTCACGCACACGAGAATCCCACAGCTCTGTTTCGACACGCACCACAGCCATTGCTACTCGTCGGCGCTCCGATTTGCTGCTCTTCGAGTCGCCTGACCTGCACCACGAGCGCAAAGAAAAGGCATCAGAGCACAGATACAGCTAAGCGAGTGCATGTTGCCAACGTGTAAACGTACTTGTACAGCGACCTCAGTTTCTCATCCTGCTCGTACGTAAGAGCGAGGTCGCTCGTCAACGTCGACCACAGGGTGTCTTTCTTTACCGTCACGGGGCTTTTCTTTTTCTCGGGCACGTCTCCAGCATTTTTTACCCCCGCACTATCATCCTTGTCAAAGAACGAATCGTCCTGGATACTGAGCCACAAGAGAAACCGGCAGTACGGAGGTAGCAGCAGGTTGTCGAGTTGACGAAAGTTGTAGTCTTTCACAGCAACTCGCTCCTACAAACGTGCCATGCAAGACATCATAGCGTCATCAGCTACTGCGTGTGACCCATCAGCACGTTTCGCACGAGTCCTTACGACACTGTTTGGTCCAAATCGTTCTTGAATCAGCATCAGACCCTGCCGAACCTTTTCCTGAACAGCCTCCAGTTCCAAGCAGGTTGTGCATGAGCCACTCCACTCCTTTTCCATTCTTCCCATCGCACAACATCAAGCCACAGCACATCCACGCTAACGCACCTCATCCACACCGCCGTTTTTCCGATCGGCCGCGAGGCTCTTCAGCATATTCGACCGCACTTGGTTCAACGTCTCATCTGCGCGCTCCAAGTGACTCGCACGCGTCGTGTCAATACTCTCCGTCAGCTGTGACACCTGACTCCACGCACAGCAACGAGAGACGTCAGCCATTCTCTCTTCCCCTTTTTCCATCCCTCCAGGCACAAAAAACAACACACAAACAACAAGTAACACACACACACACAAAAAGGACCTAACAACAACACACACATACAAACAGCAATACACACACACACTTTCTCCTCCAGCAACTCCAGGTACTGCTTCTTGCGGCGCCGACTCTGACGCGCCGACTCGCGGTTCCTGGCCAGCCGCCGCTGCCGCTTCTCGTCCGTGTCCAGCGCCCCATTGCTCGACGACGTGTCTTCGTCGTTGGCCATTGGACGCATCATCGAACTCTCGACAAAGCTGCTGATGCTGGGCGGCGGCTGGAACGCCGAGCTGCTGCTGCTGTTCGTCTCGTCGCTGCCAAACGGCCGCTCGGGCGCCAGCAGCACCGTCTGCCCGTGCGAAAACTGCTCAGCTGCATCGACTGCGCTGCTGCTGTCGGTCGCACGTAGTGGGAGCGCATGCAGCGGCTGCTCTGCTGCGACATCGGCCGACAGGAAGTAGCTCAGGAGGTCGTCGTCTTCCGCCGTGAGGTCCATATCGTTGTGGTCGAGTGCGGACGAACAAATTGACCAATGGCAGGGCAGCTAGAGGACCTGCATACTTTTGTATGCAGACCCACAAAAACACAGAGGTCAAATACGCAGAGCACATGGCACAATTGTGTGTCGATCGACGTCGACAATTAGGCCACCAGGATCTATCTATACGCGCTTCCAGGTCCACTTCAGGCGAGCAGCTGGAGGTTGCAGCAAACACCTGATCCAAGCGCTCGATGCAGTCGAATGAAGCGATTCGACCTCTCAAGTACTGCCACATTCGTGGGTCTGCTGAATGAAAGCTGAGCGACTGGAGCGTCGACCACTTTCGTGCAATTAATTCTCGGATGTCAAATAGACTGTCGTGCATTCCGACGTTTTGCGACGCGGACACCAAGTTCCTTGTAGAAGAATGACCCGGAGCCAGATCTCGGCCTGGTGGAAAAAGCGAACGACAATCGATTGACGTTGGGCAAGTGCCTGCAGGTCGCTGCTGTTTGCAAACTTCGGCGCAGTTTGTGCGTCAGAGGTCAATAAGGTGTGGTCAGCACAGGGGCGAGCCGGTCGGTAGAACCGGTTTCGACTCGAGGCAATTGCCACAAACCCGATGAGCCGGTTTTGATCCGGTTTCTTCTCGAGTCGATTCCACCCCAGTCGATACCACCCAAGTCGGATCATGCTCGCTATCCTGTCTTTCATCCATCGTGCCGTCCGACATCCTTTCTTTAGAAACGTAAACGCACCTTATGCCGACCCAGCACCCCCCCCCCCTCGAGCCAAACCACACGACAACATCCAACCGGCGGCCAGTAAGTACGCACGCTGAGGTTTTTCCACCTTCTCCGGCCCCGCCTCCTCGTCCCTCCTCCTCACTCGAGAAAACGTTCAGTCCGACGGAAGCCGTTGCAACGTCACTGCCGCATCGATCGATCGCTCTCTCGCTCTCTCGCTCTCTCGCTCTCTCTCTCTCTCTCTGCACACAATGCCGCGCGCCTCTGACGTTGCACTGGCGCCCGACGTGAGCGACTCGGAGAGTTCGCTCTGCGAGAGCGAACTGGAGCTCGAGATGGCGTATGGCGACGGACCCATTGCGCCGCTGCGGGCAGAGGCGCCGAGCGCGGCCGACGACGTGGGAGCGATCGAGAAGAGCACAGGCGCCGGCGGTCTGCAGCGCCTGTGCAGCAGTCGCGACGGCGGCCGTCGGGCGCGGACACCGACGCGACGGAGCGCTGAGGCGCCGCGAGTCGGCGGTGCAAAGCGACTGATGAACGTCCACCCGATACGTTCCGCGGGGTATCTGATGCACCCGAACGAACTGCCGCTGGGCGCGCGCAAGCAGCAGCGCTGGCTCAACGGTGCGCGGGAGAGAGAGAGCGAGTGGGGGGACGTGCAACTGACGTTTGTGGTGTGTGTGTTGTTGTTGTTGTTGTTGTTGTTGTTGTGGTTGGGGCTTGTATGGAGACAGATCACCACTTTGGGAATCGTGCGGCGTCGACGCGGTTGGAAGATTTGATGGAGCACATGAACATTAGTGTGGAGTGGAGGTGGGTGCAGCGCCAGAGGCTCCGGGTTGGGCTACTTGGTTGGCTGTGATGGTGGGGCGTTGGGTTGACGATGGCGATGGTGTGGTGTTGTGTGTGTGTAATAGGTCGAACTTTACGAAGTTGGCCGAGCCGCAGAATGAAGCGTTGCAGACTGAGTTCCGTCAAGGGGGAGGCGTACGGGAGCCCGAGGTATGCCGTGGGCCATGTAATCGACGCAACGACAAGTGGAGCGGTAAGTGTTTGTAAAATGTGTGTGTGTGCGTGTTGCAGTGGTGTTACGGCTGTGCGTTGGTGGTGGTCGTTTGGTGGTTTGACTGTGGAAGTGGGTGCTGTGCTGTTGCTGTGGTATGCTGAGCAGATGCCGAGCAAATGTTTACTCGTGTCGACCGGCGTGCGCGAACGTTGTTGCTGCGGTCGCTGCATTCGCTGGCGCCGTTCATTGAGGCAGTTGAATGCGTGGTCTTGCACTTCATTCAGGTACGTGCTGGATGATTGGAAATCGACGGCATGACGCGCTGTACTAACGAGACAGTGTGTGTGGCTATCGATTGCAGTGGCGAGAGGTGCCATCAGAGGTGGAAATAGCGGCACCGCTGCTATGTATGCTGAAACACCCGATGGAGTTGGTGAAAGTGTGCGAGAAAGACGTGCGGCTGATCATACCGCTGTTGGACTCGGCCTTCCACCGCCTGATCATACACAGCGTCTGCCAGTTCTACGGTGTGCGATCACGAAGTGCGTTATGAGTCTGTATTATTTGTTGTGGTCGATGCTTGCGCGCTCATGTCGTGCAATCTGTCCAGCCGAGGTCAATCGTCGCCTGAACACAAAGATCATGGTTCTGAAGAGTCCCAAGAAGAGGAGCTCGGACGAGGACTTGGCCCAGATATCGCTGTGCGACTTTATCCGCGAAACGCGCGTTGCTCGCCGTCATGGGGCTGCAGCCTTGCTCGAGAAAGTCACAGACAATTGCAATGCACTCGAGCTACAGTCCAAGAGCAGCGAGTGTAGCGATGGATTCTGCCTTGTGGAAGCCCCGCAGGTGTAGCGTGGCGACTGTGACCGCGTGCAGCCGCGCTGGTTCTATTCGCATGCAGTGAGACAAATGCGGTAGGCTTGGATGGCGAAGGCAGTGCTGCAGTGAAGGCCACGTGGCCGCCGTTGCTAGCTCTACCGAACTGGATGCCATCTCGCTTCGAGCAGACCTCGTGACGACTGCTTGGCTTTGGGGTGTGCCTTGCGCCGTTCTGCAGCAGAGCGCGTGGACACCGCGCCGGTATGATGCAAAGATCCATAGCTGCTCACACGTCCATCGTCTTGGGATGCTGCAGTACAGCACAAGGACGACAACCAAAAGGATGCACGAAATGGGAATCATTACCATGTTTGGCCTCGCACCGCGCTTTGTTGTATCTGCGGATGCTCGCTCACTGGTCGATAGCTTTCCTCATGCGATACCCAGCACGTACGGCGTACATCGTCGCAAGTGGACATCATCACAGGAATCGCTCTTGATTGAAACACAAAGTGCCGAGCCGTAAGCTTTAGCGAAGAAACCAACGCACTTGGCTGAGGCCAAACTCTGTTACAGTGTCACCTCACTTCTTGTACGTCTTCTCTTGAAAATGGCATGTGGGGATGATTGTGTGATTGTACACATGTGGTCTATAGATGAAGTCAGGATAGCAGAGCAAAAGCTTCGATGACGGCTCAGCCAGGATCACGCGTCCGGCATTTGAAAGCCAAGCAACATGCGGTCAGACAAAGAATCGACATGTCAGCTTCCATCAAGGAAGGATATTTGAACATTAGTTGTTCGCAGGGGCAAGCGTTGTTGCTACGTACTAACGTATGACGCATCACGTAGCAAACGACGACTGAGGACCGTTTTGACGTTTGCCACATTGTCCCGCATCTAAGTCATGCTGTCCAGTCGACGTCCGCAAAAAAGGGTCTTCGAAGTTGGCGGTCACGTGGCCACCGCACTCGCAACGTCTGACACTGATGGCAGTGACTGCTTCGTAAAACGCACTACCAAGTCGAATAGAGCTAAACTTGACGAACTACGTCAATCATAGCTCGCACTGACAGTACCGTTAGAAAACAACAGGTCCAGTGCCGAAACAAGATAGCCCGATAGTGAGGCAATCTGCATTGAGCTCGTGGATGCAAAACGTTGCGCGGGGATAATTGCGAACACAGAGCGCGTCGCCGAACTAATGCCTGCCTGTGTATGACAATGTAAACTGTTGAAGAAGCTGTAGTCGCTGCAAAAAACGTGGCAGTCTGCTCTGGAGCGTCGTAGCAAGTTGGTGAAGACATCATACACTTCTACTTTTGCGTTGGCAGCTTCCTATTCTAACAGAAACAAGGGCAAATACCAAGCAAAGAGGACGCAAGAGCTGATCGAGGTAGCGTTGAATGACATAGACTGAAAACGGGTGGCGTCGGCATATATCGACTGCTTGCGCATTGACTCGACGGCAAGTGAGTTTACGGCGGCTGTGAACAAAAGGCATCGGCAATGCAACAGCCACGTTTGTTGTACAGGATTAACGTGCTTTACACCCGCGATAAACGGTCAGTAATTGAGCGCTCTCGCTTGTATCAGTCTGAGGAGTACAGCCATAGTGCGGTGTGCAATTGACGATCGCTTTTATTTTACTTCTTTTCAACGTTTTGGGGCCACAAAGGGTTGGCAGAGCGAACTCTTCGTGCACACCAACTGCTTCTGTCGGGAAAAACGTGCAATTTGACTCTCTGTCGGTCACTCCACGCAGAATCTATCACATCGTTCTCAATAGCTCGTCAAAAGGATTCGACAAACAAACCGTTTCGTAAGGTTTCGAGACGCACCTAGTCTTACGGCGTCGACCTGTAACCTAGTTAGCGGATTGAGACTTACACCATCCCTGCAGTTTAGATTTGGTAACATGATGGGAGTTCAGAGTCCGACACTACGACGACACGCAAGTCCGAACACGCACAAGAATACTGTTTGTCGAGGGCAAGAGAAACCGAAGAACAGAGTGCTTGATATATCGTAAGCTCTTTGCGAGAACGGTACATGGAGCTGACTCGAATCTAGGTTAAGCGAGCCCTTTCTTGCTTGGTTTCACACGCCTTCCAACCTATTTCCGCACCGACGATGCCAAATACTACACGACCTTTTGCAAGATGCCAAGTTTTACACACCACTACAGCAGCTTTACAAGCACCCAGTATTAAGCATACTCGGTTGTTTAGGAGATGAGGGTGTGGCCACTTGACATGACTGTAGCTCGGCTTCCATTTTTGAATGAGCTGATTGCTTGCACCGATCATATGATGTGTCAAATTCGACAGAATTTGGAATGGCAATCCATCCTGACAAAAGACGAGATAACACATGCAAGGACAGAAGCAATGAGAGCTTCGATTGGAAAATGACCTTCTGCATCCATGAGACGCAATCGTATGTATCGCGAGATCACTTCTTTGTCGCACATGAGTGCTCTGGCACCCTGATTGTGTGTCTATCTCACTGAAGTCGCAGCCAAGCATCACCATCTCGCATCAGGCAGCTTGATTGTAGCAAGACCGTTGCCATGTTGACTCGTTGTTTGACAGCGACCGTTTGAAATACCTGACGCAGCACGAATTCGAAAACCCTAAACGAAGAAGATCAATACTGTCTACTTATCATACAAGGTACAGTTTGTACTTCGAGTTGGTGCTTGCTCCTTCACAAGAGTCAAGAGATCCCTACCAACAGCAGTACATTGATGCCATAAGTGGACTGGATATCACATTTGTTGTTCTAAACAACGCTTTTTGCAGATCGTCCACTTCACGGCTTGACGTACGGACCACATTTACAATAAAGGTCGTGGCTGGCAAAATGGCGGCCCTATAAAATCTGTTAATCATGACCAGCTTATTGCATGTGAGCATACTCTGCTTTGCCATTGACACGAAACGATCGGTTCCAGGGGAGTGTCGGATCAGTCGGTCGAGTGTAAGGATGCCAATGTTTGTCTGTTGAGCTGAGTACCCCATGTGGACAGTCTGTTGTGGCACGATATAGATACGGCTGGTGTTTGAGATTCACCAGAACTTCTACCGCTCAACGATATGACCATCTCCTCAAGTCCTCTCATCTTACATCGGTAGGAAGAGGAGGCTCTACGTTAAACGAGAAACGTACCGTGAGAGGACTTTGCAGGGTAGAATAGTCAGTAGTATCCTGCAAAGCGTGAAAGTAGAAATGTAGGTCGGAAACGATCCGGTATCGACAACTTACACTTGACTATTTATCCTTGAACCAGGCATTCTACATCAGTTGCCAAGCCTTGGCTTGCGCCAACTAAGAAATGATATGACCTCCGCACATTGGTCGCATTTTTGCGTGGAGCATGGTGGCAAAGAATGGCCTAACAAGTACGATCTATTACACGTGGTGGAATGGCGATGCATTTGGTGTTCATACTGAGTGTTTGAATCAAAGAAACGATCAAGTGTCTACTGCTGGATATCTGTGCCACTATAGTATAGCTCCAGCGTGACCCATAGACGTGTCTCGATGCCTCGTTTGTCACGTGAGAACGCATACACAGTTAGCTGCTGGCATGCGGATGATGTTGGAACTTGATCATTCTAGGTATATGCTGTCCTCTTTAGCACCACGAAGAGATGTGTGAAGTCGCAATTACCGCTGGCTGCTACTCCCGCGAACTCGCCAAGCTTGGATCGATGAGTTAGGCCCGCTGAAACCGACTCGCTGAGTCCAACCATCTATTACACTCGAGGTACATTTCCGAGAAGTGCGAGAAGGTGGAGGGCCACATAAGAAGAGGCTTCCACGAAGTTAAATTGGACTTTTGTCATCCACTTGAGTGCAAAGCGTATATCTGCCTCCAGTGTAGGCATCGTTATGTAACAAGGCACGCTTGTTATCCACCTCAGCGATAAAAACATTTCTCCTTATATCGTGTAGACTTGACCCTTTACCTTACTCAGGGCAGCATTTGGACTTGATATCACTTGACACTGATCCGCGCGCTCACCCGAAACCGTCTGGAAATCGTCTGATGTCCAGAGATCAGCATTATAGTTCGCTTCGATCCGAGGGCTGTGACGGTGTCCATATGAGCTATAGTGGTGTGTACGTCATTTACTTAATGCCGAGTGAGAAACGCAATGCAGTATGAACCAGCACTGGTAGCTCAATGTGGTGCCATATTTCAACGAATCCAAGAATTAAGCCGTTTCAGGCAAGATGTAGTGGCCACCCACTTTCGCCATCCCAAAAGTGCCGCAGGAAGATTATTGTCGATATGCAACAAGAAGATTGTGTTCCGCATACGCAGATAGAACCTTTAAAGTGGCTAGTAGCGAGCAGCAGCGTCATTTATTCATTATCGTGATCAGCCGTGCTGTTTGCCGAGTAGTTCAACTTTTGATTTGCAAAACATCTCAACAACGCAGCGTCTCGCTCGTGTTTATGACCAAAAGGGCGATGCGATGCGCTACGCAAGTGTTCTTTGCGGAAAAAGGCTACAACATATCGAAATTTTTCTTTCACGATGCAACGAATACTTCCCATAGTAGGCGGCAAAGTTTACAGCGTTGTAAGGTGATATCTTCTCTCGTCGAGACGAGTATGGCAATAGATGCGCTTACGTTACGTAATGATCCCATTACATGTCGTAGAGATCAAATTTATGTCAGAAGATATCTTCGAAATGAATAAGATCCTCTAAGATGTACTTTGCTGAATAAATATTGATGGGATATTTAGAAAGGTAACGTTTGACAATACCGCATTCATCGGCTAACGTTGTCCGTGCTCAATGATATCGTTTTGGCATTTTTTTCTTGATAAGCCCCGCAGAGTTTTGGGGTTCAACGGCAAAACCCGTCACAGGGGTTGTTCGGCTTCACCTGATCGGCCGTTACCGAGACAATTTACCAGATGGCAAAGAGAGATAGACGTCACGTTGGAAGATCAGGATGTCAAGACGAGTGAGACCGAGAGATGCGATTGACGCGTGGGAATATAATATGATG